TGTGGGGGGAGAGTGGGCTTTGCCAGTTGTCTTCACTCTCACCTCAGCCCATCATGATCCCTTTCTTTGGGCTGGCAGCACCCACTCAGGTCCTGACAGACAAATCTGGCATACTGCCTTATTTCTCAGCCTCCACTCCTCCCTCCACTCTCCCCCTCAGCCCTCACCCCCTCCTTCTGCATTCCCCCAGCCCCCACCTCTCCTTCCACTCTTCCCCACATCCCCCATACCCTCCCTTGAGCTGGCAGACAATGATAAGACCTCTGTACACAAGAATGCCCCATCTTGGGCTTTATTCCCTGGTTTCTCCCCAATACCCTCTCTCATCCCCTAGTCCCTCTTCCTTGGTATGCCATAGCCCAGCCCTCAGCCTTTTCTCCTAGGGCTGAGAGCCCCAGTACCTGCTACCCCCTCTGCCTGCAGGAGGGCACAGAGATCCCTGCCCCGGCCTGGCTGTGAGGTCAGCTTCTGGGATTTCCCGTTCACAGCCAGCAGGAAGTCTGCCTTGGGGAGGGGAAACCTTATTCTTGGCCTTCGGCCAGATACTAAGCAAGACCAAAGTTCAGGGGAGGAGCCTGTTTCCCTGGTCAGCTGGGGACTCCCACTGACCTCTGCTATTCAGGTCCAGGGGTTTGGGCCTCAGAGGCCCAGAGAGCAAGGTCAGATGGAGGCAGAGGGAGGAGGGCTGGAGAGCAGTGGGGTGAGAGAGACTTTATGCTGACCTGCCTGTGGTTGCCTGTCCCGTGGCTTGTCCAGCAGTAGACTGGGAGGGGGAATGTCTCAGGACGGTCTGCCCTATCCCAGTAGGGATTGTGTGCCAGGGGGGCATGGCCTGGGCACACACATGGTTGGTAAGGGGCCTGTAGCAGCAGTACCACCCTCTCCAGCCCCCAGGGGAACCAAGATATGGCCCTAGGGTAGAGCTGCTATGGGGGTGGAGTCCACACAGGTCTCATCCTGAGACATCCAGGAATTAGGTGCAAGAAGGGAGGGTGTCTGGGAGCTAGCCTTGTTCTCTGGTGCCTCAGTTTCCCCTGCCCTTGAGCTGTTGCTGTTGGAAGCTGATAAGCTCTGTGGATGAGGCTGTGGGGAGTGGCCTCCTTTTCCAGTGGCTCTGGCCCAGAAAAAGGCCTCCCAGGCCCTGCAGACTCTTCTCTGAATCTCATCTCTGCCCTTACCCAGTTTGCCCTATTCCCTGGCTCCAAATGAGCCCCTTGGGGCCCCTCGACAGCAAACACATCAGGAAAAGAGCAAGAGTCAGCCCCCAGGGAGCAGAGCAGACCACACTGGTGACTGTCACATTGCACACTGCCCATGCCAGCCCCTCAGGCCTTCCCTACCTCATCTCCCACTCCGCTCCTCAAATTCAGGCCGGGGTCCCCTTTTCAGGGCTCTTGGGCTGGCATGGGGCGGTGGGAAGAAAAAGAAACTGAGACAAAGGGGCAAGTACGTGGGAAGGAACCACTGGATGGCTGAGGTCAGGGTCAGACGTGGTGGGGGTAGCATTTGTGGAGCCAAGAACGGAGTTTTCAGGGGTAGAGGGAGCAGTTGTGCATTGGGCCAGCGCCCCCTGGTGGAAAGTGTTGCAGCTGCTACCTACCCAGAGCCAGGTCTCGCAGCCCTGCTGCCGTGGCTACCTGGGCATTCTTCCCTGGACATTTGGAGAGAGTGGAGGGCCCAGAAACGGTCTGCTTTCGTAAAAGCTGGGTTTGAGGGAAAAAACAAAACAAAAACAAAAACACACTGTCCAGGGATCAAGTTCCATCCCAGTGCCCCTTGGAGAAGTGCTTCCAAAGGAAACACTGTTGGGGCAGCCAGGGTAAAGACCTGGATCACTGGAGGCTCCTGCCCGGAGGCAGAATTCCTGCCTGAATAAAAAGTATGCCTTTCCTTTCCTTTCCTTTGCGGTTGTCCTCCTCCCACTGCCCTGCGTGCTCTCACGTCTTCAGAACAGGATGTGGGACTTCCTGGGACTCCTCTCCTCATTCCCCGCCCGCACCTCTCCCAGCCTTCCTTTTCCTTCCCGCTTCCTTACTCTCCTTTCCTACCCCACCCTCCTCGTCCCTGCTACCCCGACTCAGCTCGGGCTCTCAGGACACAGGAAGGACTGCGCGACCCCTCCAATGGCTCCAAACCCTGCTTCTCAGGTCGGGACCCTTAGGGGATCTTTATGGGAGAGACAGAGGCAGAGCATCCACAGCCAGAGCTCGAGGTCTGGGCAGTGTGGACCTCTTGCCGGCCCAGGACCTCCCTGAGTCATGGGTGACCCCAACGTAAGGAACATGGGCATCCGCGATGCGTGTCATCCCGGGAAACCGAACCGCTTGCCAGGCGCTCCTTCACAGCATCCACTGAGGAAAGACAGCGCCCCTCGTGGCCAAGTCTGTACGGCACACGGTGATCTGCTCAGTACGCTGGGTGATTGGCTGCTTCCTACATGCCCCCCACCATGGATTGAGCCTGCAATCCACACATGTGCCCTTGACTAGAATTGAACCCAGGACCCTTCAGTCTTCAGGCCAATGCTCTATCCACTGAGCCAAACTGGCTAGGGCAGTAGGTTTATTAGTGGAATTAGTATAATTGTGAAGCTGTTTTGTGTGTTTTGATGGATAGAGCTATTAGTAAAAAAGGTTGATATTGCCAGGAATCAAGGTTATCCTCTTGGAAAAAGGGAAAAGTTGAGGAAGAACCCTATGGTGTTGGACTGGAATTGGACATATCCATATCAACTCATGATACCCACTGATAGAGTCTAAAAAACAGCCAGGCATGGCACAGTGGTTGAGCGTCGACCTCTGAAATAGGAAATTAGGGTTCGATTCCCAAACAGGGCATATGCCTGGGTTTTGGGCTTGTACCTCAGTGTGGGGCATGTAGAAGGCAGCCAATCAGTGATTCTTTCTCATCATTGATGTTTCTGTCCTTTTTCCTTCTCTGAAATCAATAAAAATATATTAAAATAATTTTTAAAACAGCACTTTTAGTTCTTGGTTTATGAATACCATTTCCCATGAAAAAATTATGATTCATTGTAGAAATGCTTGCTTTGGGATTGGGGGACTAAAAATACAAGGTGAGCCTGGAATATCTTATTGTGCCCGAAGATTAGTAGGTCCATGGTCTGCAAACTGCGGCTCGCAAGCCACATGCGGCTCTTTGGCCCCTTGAGGGTGGCTCTTCCACAAAATACCATGGCCTGGGAGAGTCTATTTTGAAGAAGTGGCATTAGAAGAAGTTTAAGTTTAAAAAACTTGGCTCTCAAAAGAAATTTCAATCGTTGTACTGTTGATATTTGGCTCTGCTGACTAATGAGTTTGCCGACCACTGAGTTAGAACATGTCAAAAGGTCACAGAAATCAGTTTGAAGAGGTTGCCTGGTCAAATTAGAGACCATTGGAACGTCAAAAAGAATTCTGGTGACATTTGTTGTTTCCGTGACCAGGGTATATGAAGTGTAGACCATTCTGCCACAGGCCGAGTCACATGACATCTGCCACTCTCTACCTAAAGCCTGTTAAGGTTTGAGATGAACTGTTTCGGCCTGTTTCCTTCACGTGTCTTCATTACCTGTCCTACTATATGTCTCCACTTCTTTCAACTCACCCTGTTCTCACCCTCTAGTTATTCCCACAAGGTCCTTCTCCTATCTCCCTTAACGGAGTTTAATTCAGTTAAATCTTTAGAGCAGCAAATACAAAGGAGACCAGCTATGTTGTTTTTGGAAAAGTCCAGAGGCCAACTATGAAAAACCGAGGGAAATAAAGCGATACAAAACAAAAATTAGCCCTAGCCGGTTTGGCTCAGTGGCTAGAGCGTCAGACTGTGAACTGCAGGGTCCCAGGCTTGATCCCCTGTAGGAGGCATGTAGGAGGCAGTCGGTCAATGATTCATCACCATTGATGTTTCTATCTCTCCCTCACCCTTCCTCTCTGGATCAATAAAAATATATTAAAAAGAAAAAGAAAACAAAAATTACCCTGTTATAATTATGGCCCCAAACAAAGTCATCTGAGGAGTGATTTGCTGTATATAATGAATAACGTATATAATCTGTTTTCATATATGATGAACTATATGTCTGACAGAAAGGTCAGTGGTGCTTATCCCTGGATATATATTAGAATAATCTGGGGACCTTAAATACAGATGCCTGAACCCCATACCAGAGATTTTCATTTAATTGAGGTAAAGGTAGTAGACCGGACATCAATATTTTTATGAAATCTGCATAGGTTACATGCATGTGTAGCCAGGGGTAAAAAAACTAGTGTAGGACTTAAGCTAATTCACCCCAGGATGGCTAAGTGTACAGTTTACAGAAAGTGCTGAAAATTAAATCATAGGGTTTGCACTTCTCTAGTTAATGTCAGCATACCCTGGAACAAGAAGAAAAGAAAAAGTGGCAGATGTAAAGACGACATCACTTGTGTTCTACCCCTATAAATTCTCATTTAAATGTGCCTGCGTGGCAATTTACATTCTTTAGGTCCTGAGACTAACAAGGCAGGTAGATCGCTTTTTTAAAAAATGTATTTTTAAAATATACATTTTATTGATTTCAGAGAATAAGGGAGATGGAGATATAGAAACATCAATGATGAGAGAAAATCATCAATTGGCTGCCTCTTGCACATCCACTACTGGGGATTGAGCCTCAAACCCCAGCATGTGCCCTGACCAGGAATCAAAACCTGACCTCCTGATTCATGGGTCAACACTCAACTACTGAGCCACACCGTCCAGGCTTAAGATTTTTAAAAATTGAATTTTAGAGAGTGGGAGAGGGAGAAACACTGATGTGAGAAACCGCAATCAACTATTTTCTGCACACCCCCATCAGGGATCGAGCCCACAACTCAGGCGTGTGCCCTGACTGGGCATAGAACCAGCAATCTTTCAGTACTAGTTTGGGTGATGCCCAAGCAACTGAGCCACATTGTCCAGGGCAGCAGACAGATCTTGATAATATAATCAGTAGTCAATGAACAATTCAAATATTGCTGCATAATACTTTTATTCAACAGTGTTATGGAGAAAAACAATTTCTGCATTGTTACATCATAATTTCAGACATATCAGAATCCAGTGACAAAATCCACTTGGAGAAAAGTTTTCAAACCCATTCTTGTGTAGTACTACTCCTCTATGAAATACTGAAAGGCAGCTCTGCACCTCAGCACTAAAGGTTACAAAAAGCACCATTTAATGGACTCACATGTTTAATTCTTTTCAAATTATAGTATTATTTCCCCTTTATGACAGAGCTTCACTAATCTAAAATGCTTCAGTATAACAACAACCAACATCCTCCAATTTACCAATGTTCAAACAAGTCTCACATATGGGGCCCAGTGTGGAATTAGAATTAATAACATCAGTGAGCTTGGCTGTTCTAAAACCTGAACCTGGTTAAGGTTAGTGCTTTGTAGACGGAAACAGAAAAGTAAGATGATCAATACATATTACTATGGTAGGTACTCCTTGACCATTTAACCTGACTACAAAATCCAGTGTTTAGTATTTCATACCAATCTTAATGCAAAAGTACTGAACTACACATAATCCATTTCCAATAATGTTAAAACCAACAAAAATTTCAGTTTTTAACAAAACTTATTCACTTCAAAGCACAATTGAGAAAAGCAAATCAAGACAAAGCCCAAATATGAATCCTAGAGAGATTCCATTACTAGGAATTGGAGATCATAAGTAGCAGATTCGAGTTTTTCTTCTTCTTTTTGCTTATAATTTAAAATTTAAAAATAAAATCTTTTACTCCAAAATTTTGAGTTAATTGCAGAAATCATAGCCCTTCAAGCTCCAATTGCCTAGATCCAGACAAATGCCTAGATCCAGACTTTTAAAAGACAGACTGTAACCCCTCCCCTGCCCTGGTCTACCATCCCATTGGTAACTGGAATCAGCAGTCCCTGGTAAAGATAGCAGGAACTTGGCCTTCAGGATGAGTCAGAATAATGTAGGAACAAACTGTATCTGTGAGTAAACCCATGCCCCAAATCATTAGAACATGGAGATTTAGAAACCTTTGAGAACAGAATGTATTTCAAACACACACAAACATAGACTATTGCATATCATTTTTAGTTGAGGTCAAAAATTTAAAAGCCCTGTTTCCCCAGTTAAAAGCAGGAAATTCTATCATTAGTACGTTACCTTCATTTACAGCCCACATTAATATAAGCCCAGTCTGGAGGTAACACTTCTTTCAAAATTTAACTTCATTTTAGCAGCATACATGGATTACCAATACTTTTCAAAGGTTTTATCTCAGATTCAGTAGGTCTACAAGAGACTAGAACTAATTGAAGGGAAGTAAGTGGGCCAGGATTTGTAGGATTCTCTCAGAAACTTCTCTTAGACTCTTCTTTTATAGGATTTCTTTATCATGTAAGCATTGTTTAAAAAAGCCAAACTAGTAAGGCCAAGTATGTCCTTCGTGGGTGTTGCTTATAGTGGTTGAATCCCATTCAACTCTAAGTGTGACTGAAAGTTCTCCATACCAGCAAGATGCCTAACATTTATTTTAGGTAATGTTTGACTTGAGACCCTGATAAAGTCTATTTGTCAAATGAAATTGCGTCAGAATGTAGAAAAAAGGGTAGAGAACAGGAACAAGAGTTGGAGGAATGATGTCTTTTATAGTAAATTCTGTACAGTGAAATCCAAGGACACCAATATGTTATGTCTGATTTAATTTTTTTTTTTTTAAAAAAGGGTAGTTCTCAGTTATTCAAGTCTTTATTTTCCTAGTATTACTCCTCAACTCAGTCATTCTCTTTTTCTCTTAATCCCAAAACCATGATGAAGTTCTTGAACGGTTAATCCTCCTGAGAGCCATTTTCTTATTCTTCTGACTCTTGTGAAATTGCTATAGTCCCTCCCAAAAGAGCTAAAAATATTTTTCTTGCTTTTATTCATTTCTCAAATCTGCTAACCTCTAAAGAAAGTAAACTATTCCGTTAACCAATGCAAAAGAATGAGTGGTTAAACGTGGGGCTACCTTCTTCCCCCCCTATCTACACTCCTCCCTCCCATCTACCTTCTGAAACAGTTTCTTGGGGACAAAATGTGACAGGGCTACTCAGGGCCATGGGACATATTAGCAGTATAAAAAAGGAACAATACTGAAGGAGTCATCCAGTTCCTCACCTTCCTTACCGGCTGTTAGGCTCCCATTTCACATCTAGCTGAGAGATGACCTCAGAATTTGGGAAACTGAGCTCTCTGCATCTTTCCTGATTAGAAAGACATAAAGGTCAGCAACACCAAAATCTATTGTCACTGAAGCCAGACCCAATTCAACAAAGACTTTGGCCTGAAAGAAATTGAAGGGGTCTCTTTTCCTGTCCTCTCTACTGACATACCTGTGCGGAATAAAAATCTCAATACATGAACATATAGGCAACTACATTTCAATACTGTTGATCAGAAATATGAGTGCAACAAAATCCTTTATTCAAAACCAAGATTTTGAATCCTCCTAAGTGGCCCACTTATTTAATGGATATTAGAAAAAAAACAAAAGTCTAGAATTAACTGAAGATGACATAGATCCTAAGAGTTGGTTAAAATAGGATTTGGCCTGGATTTTTAAAATGGCACTCTATTCAAAAAGTGGTTGGGAGTATAAGAGTTCTCCACAAAAGCCTTTTGCTGCAGAAGGTGGCCTTAAGTGGCTAAAGCAGTATTTATTCTCAGCAATTAACCATCAAAGCACTTAGCAATTTGCATTCCCAGCAAAACACCACCACCATAGCCTACTGCCGCATACGGGGACCTAAGAGGTCTACATGCCCAAAGACAACTGCCTCCAGCTTTGCATGGGAAAGCAGGAGGTAACGAAACTGACCTATGGATGTCCTCAGTGTGGCTGAGCTCATCTGAGCAGTCAAGGAGTCTCTCAAGCATCAAGTTTGGACTCCTTAAGTGTTGAATGTTTAACGTGCATTTACCTGTAATGGAAGAGCCAGATACCTGGAAAATATGTCTTATCTTTCTACCCCAAGAATAGATTGAATGCTAGTTTCATTTCCCAAATGGAAATCACTGACCCCACCTCATTATCAAATATGTTTTTTAAAAAGAGGCAGAAGAACAAAATGATGGTTGAGAACACCAAGGGTCCTTTCTTGATTTTCACCCTAACAAACCTTAAGTTGAGGAAACCTTTTAGGTGCATCAAATGAGCCTGAATATATCTGTACCAGGAGCAATATTTAGTGTAATGATGTGCACAGGGTCAGCTACATTACTTACTCTAAGATTAAGAACTAGACTAGGGAAGAAAATCTTGGGAACCAATTCTCCAATGAAGTCTCATAAGACCAATAAAAAGGCATTTTTAATTAAAGAAAAATGTAGGCACATAAAAATCTTTCAAGGATGAAAGACATGAAAGTTTTCCCTGGCTCACTCCCACCTTCAAGGTTCATTTCAATACTGTTGATCAGAATTATCTGATCAGAAATTTCTGCTCTGAGAAAGAGTACTTGAAGCAGGCCAGGCCAGGTAGGAAAACCTATAGGGATGTGCCAATACAGCCTAAGCGGTGGCATCAAACCACTAGTAAAACAAAAAAGTAGACCTGCATTTATTCTTGCATTTATTATTATTATGTTTGGTTAATCCTCACCCAGTGACACTTTTTCTATTGATTTTTATAGAGTGAAGGGAAGGGGAGAGAAAGATCGATGTGAGAGAGACACATTGATTGGTTGCCTTTCACATGCACCCTAACTGGGGCCAGGGATTGAACAAGCAACCCAGGTATGTGCCCTTGGCAGAAAATAAAACCCACAACCCTTCGGGTGTAGAATAATGCTCCAACTACTTAGAACACTGGCCAGGGCTTCCTGCCTTATAATGCTGAGCCATTTTCCTTAGTAGAAGTTAGAACAATTGGTAACAAAGTGGCATAGGCCTGTGCTGGGCTAAAAAGGACTTTCTGGCGGCCCTGGTCTCTGAGGTGGGTCAGATATCCCGAAGACTTTGAAAGGAGTCATTTACCAATGAGTTTTTGTGTTGGGGGGGGGGGGGGGGTCATGTATAGGATCTGAAAGAGGTTATCAAAGCAAGTATATATAATGAGAGGGGAAAAAAGGATTTTTGTGGGATATCTGGTATTATATAAAAAACCCAGAGTGTATCCTCAGCTGAGGATTAAAAAAAAAAAAAAAAAAAAAGACCACCACAAAACTAACTGACCAACCAAACAACCAGCAACGAGGTTGTGCCACATACTCTGGGAATACAGAAAACCCATGCAAGAAAAGCTGTCCTAAAAGGAGGCAGCTGTGAGTAGGGCCAGAGTATGGCACAAGACCATCCCTTGGAGAGCCAAGGTAGCAGTGATAGACTCTCCACCCAACAAGGATACTGAGTTTGCTCTTCATTTTAGTAAAAAAAGCTTCCTATAGCGAAGGTTCTCCTACAGCATCTCCAAACAGTTCTTGGTGCGTCCCTATAGGCAGAGAGATTACATCTAGCTAGTAGGCTTCCATGAACCTTCTTCTCATATGTATACATATATGTGTTATTTTTCTTAGAATGAACACCATGAATTCATAAAACCCACATCTTCAATCAAATGCAAAAGCAGAGCATCCTACTCAGAGGCTCTGAAACACACACATCAGCCTCAAAGCAAATCAAGCCTTCCAGTCTCAGGTAAGACTATTCTAGTCCAGAAAGGCAAGGAAACTGCTTCTGAAGCCTGGGAGGCAGAAGGGGATCCCCTCAGATGGGCTTGTACAGCAGAGTAGTGACATACTTCTTCTTGTAGCGATGGGTTGCACTAAGAACCATCACGCTGTCCTGTAAGGAAAAGAAACATGCAGCTAATTCATTAGTTCAGGTGGTACACAGTTGCTAACTTTTAAGAGACATTATAAAAGGAGTTTGGTTTTAGAGTCAAATCAACTTAAATCTGATCCTGAATCCTACTGTTACTCTTTTTGTGACCTTGAATAATCTACTTCATGTCTGTAAGTCTTCTTTCTTTTAAAAAAAATACATATTTTATTAATTTTTCACAGAGAGGAAGGGAGAGGAAGAGAGAGTTAGAAACATAGATGAGAGAGAAACATTGATCAGCTGCCTCCTGCACACCCCCTGCTGGGGATGTGCCCAAAACCAAGGTACATGCCCTTGACAAGGATCAAACCTGTGACCCTTGTGTCTGCAGACTGAGCCAAACCGGTTAGGGCTGTGAGTCTTTTTTTCCTCACCATCGAAAGGATAATACCTATCATTACGTGGCTCTGATGTTTACATCAGAATACCTGGCATAGTCCCCGACACCTAATTGGTGCGGAAGAAAGATTAATCTCCTATTTCATTCCTTCCCTATTTTAAATTTGAATATTGGTTTAAACCTAGCAAGTAAAAAAAGAAAGAAACACCCTGGCAATCCATTTATAGACGGAATCTTAAATGCAATGAGAAGAAAGGGCATTTTCAAGCCCTGAAGCAGGTCTAATTTTCATTTAAAAAGTCTTCTTTGATCAAGAGGGGACTCAGGAATCCCCTTCTATCTTTAAATAAAGTAGACCCCAGAATCTTCCTAGGAAAGACACTCAATCCAATTGATTAATTCCAAACAGCCTAAACAATCTGAGTCAAGGCCAAGGTGAATCACAATACTTAAGACCAGTTTGAAAAGTAAAAATGTACAATTTCTCAGGCTGTGTTACAGGTTATGTATGTACCACAAGAGAAGATAGCAGGCCTGTGGACATCCATTGATAGTTAAGGAGCAGTAACAGGAGGCAAAAGTTCAGTCAGATACCAAAGAACCCAAGCAGATCCAATTGAGAAACCAGTGCATTTTCCTATTTTCCCCTATACTGTTTGTCCACAATCATTGCTTCCCAGATTAACATTCCATGACCAGAGAAGGCTGGTCACGGCCTAAATATGACAGAAGCAAGGCAGGTAAAAAGTTCAACTCCAAGAAGGGTTTGGTAGAAATGAGAGAAATACCTACTGGGAAAGTGAGAGAAATACCTACTGGGAAAGACCTGGCCCAGTAATATCTGGGAAAGAATATGGAATGAGAATAGGAGGACTGGACTTCAGTCCTTTCTCTGGTACTTACTGGCAATATGACCTTCTCTGAGCCTTAGTTTCTTTATCTATAAAACAGGGGTTAAAAATAATACTTACCACACAAGGTTATTATAAAAAATAAATTCAAGGTAGTTAAAGAAGTTATTTGTTAAAGAAGCTGTATCAGTGATTGCCCTTATCTAAGAAATATAAGCAGCTTAAACAGATGATTAGGGCCCATCCTAGATGCACTTATTCAAAATCCCTGGGATATAGCTTCTGAATCTGTATTTTTACAAACTCTTCAGGTGATGATCATCTGGTAACTGTAGGACATAACTTTATTCCAATAGCCAAACCACAAAGACATGACTAGACTGAATGACTATTTTCAATCTAGACTCTAAAGCAGCAGAGAAATCGAGAAGGACTATAAGAATTGGAGGGGACACTGCAAATATGGTCACATTTCTTCCAATATAGGAGAGATGCAACCACCTGGGTATATATGAATGAGTCACCTGAAAGTAGTTGTGTCTATCTTTAAAAAGTGAGAGTTTTAATACCACATTTATGTATTCTTTGAATTGAAGATTAACTTGCTTTCTGTGCAAGTGGAATTTTAGTGCTATGTACTAAAATTAAGTAGGTAGTACAGTGATTATAGCTACCCACAGGGTAAGCTAAGAACACATATGTCTGTATCTATGAGTTTCAGTTTTATATCCCACGCATAAGAATTATATGGTTCTTAGCTTTTTCTGACTGATTTATTTTGCTTAGCAAAATATTCTCAAGGTCCATCCATGTTATCACATTGGCAATATTTCATCTTTTCTTATGGCTCAGTAGTATTCCATTGTATACCAGCATATATATGTACCACATCTTCTTTATCCAATAATCCATCAAAGCACACTTGGGTTGTTTCCATGTCTTGGCCTCTGTGTATAATGCTGCAAAAAAACATTCATTTGCAAATATATATATATATATATATATATATATATATATATATATATATATATTTGCAAATGAATGTTTTCAAATTTTTCAGGTAGAAACTCAGAAGTACTGCTGGGTCATATGGCAACTCTATTCTTAATTTTTTGAGGAGCCACTGTACTGTTTTCCATAGTGGCTGTACCAGTTTACATTCCCACTAGCAGTGAATGAGGGTTCCTTTTTCCCCCACAACCTCTCCAATACTTGTCTTGTTGATAATAGCCATTCTAACAGGCATGAGGTGGTATCTCATTGTAGTTTTGATTTGCATTTCCCTAATAGCTAGTGAAGTTGAACATCTTTCCATATATCTGTTGGCCATTTGTATATTTTCTTTTGAGAAGTGTCTGTTCAGGTCCTCTGCCCATTTTTAAATGGATTATATGTTTGTTTGGTGTTGAGTTGCTTGAGTTCTTTATGTTTTTGGTTATTAACCCCTTATTGGAGCTGTTTGCAAACATCATCTCCTACTCGATTGGTTGCCTTTTAGTTTTATTGGTGGTTTCTTTCGCTGTGCAATTTTTTGAAACTAAGATAAAAATACACACAAACCACCCACTAGTTTAAAAAAAAGTTCTTTCTCTCTCTCTCTCTCTCTCTCTCTCTCTCTCCCCCCCTCCCCCCCAATTTTTTTGAGGGAAGGTAATCAAAATTTTTGGTGCTCTAAAAAAAAATAATAATAAGTTCTTTATATGACTGGTCAGTGTTGCTCAGTGGTTGAGTGTTGACTTAGGAACCAAGAGGTCACCCATTCAATTCCTGATCAGGACACATTGCAGGCTCAATCCCCAGTATGGGCCAATGGATGACGTTTCTCTCTCACTGATATTTCTCTCTGTGTGTCCTCCTCCGTTCCTCTCTTTCTAAAAAATCAATAAAAACTTAAGTTCCTTATAATTTGACCATTCCCGACAGTCTCAGCTTCAGTGAAGGAGCAGAGCAAGTAATCACTGGAAAACATGTTACCCTTATGTGTGGGATATAAAAGTGAAATCCACTTGGGGGAGCTCTGTGAAGAGCCAGCCACACCACTTACCTTTATGGACAATGCATAGAGATGGTTCAGCATAACGTGATTTGGTTCAGGGAGCAAGGCTGGATCACACTAAGAGAAAAGCACACAACACTAATTGGGGTTAAATGCAGTTTTAAACCAGGAAGTTTATTCTTTGGGATTGTTGAGAAACTCTAAACTAGTATATATTGTTCCTTTTATATACTGCACTCATCCTTGTATATATCAATACAGTCTCATTACAGGAAATCAGGAAAATTCTGAGTCCAGGACTGAAATGCTAAGCCTCAGCATCAATTCATCTTCCTTAACAGAGCTAAGACAAAAATATTGCCCACATCAGACATAGAAGGCACAGGCTTAAGAGGCAACAGTAATCTTAATGGGAATCACGTGAATTGACCAGAGATGTAAATTATATGAAAACCACACACAAAAAAGGGCCACTTTATACTTCTTTTCTATATCCTCAAGTGACAAATGCGCCCTATCTTGTGTTGGAATATAAGCTCCTGAAACTGATTCTAGTAATTCATAGCTCTGGGCCTGAATTACTTGGAGCAGAAGACAACTATGAATTTTGGAAAAGTCACAACTCAGCCCTAAAAAAAAAGAAAGAAATTATAATAATATATGTATCTATATATTATATCTATATATAGGTATATGTAGGATAACAATATGAAAAGATTAGAATTCTTTTTTCCATATACCGTATGTGATGAATACATATGTAACAATCACCTTTGTAATAATCCCAACCTCTACGATTACTAAACTTTAGCTCAAATGGTCCCAGTGACCTCAAGATGCCCCAGCAATACTCTCAGGATACTCACAGAAATATTAGTGTCCTTGTTAAGAATAACTTGGAGAAGGTGAGGAGGCAAGATGGGTGGGGATTTGAATCTCTCCTCAGATCGAAACACATACATTTCTTGACTATAAGGGCCTGGGGGTGAGCTGGAAAGGTCTGAAAGACATTTATCCAAATATAAGGGAAAGTTAGAGAACTAGTAAAAATGCATGAAAAAATATCATCATGGCATCTAATAATAAATACATAGAAATCATGAATCATAAACTTGTGACATGTTGGGTCTACAAGTGTAAGGCAGACAAGAAACAGTCTGAGTTATCCTGAACATAAACTAAAGTTCCTCAACCTGGCAACATGATATGGTGGATAAAGGAGGAGAAGAGGGGTAAAAGAGATAGATTTTGGGAAGAAGTACTCCATTTATCCATTTCCTATTCATACAAGATGGTCAGTTTCCTTACTCATAAAATAAAAAGAATCTCTATCCAATTTCACAATGTTTTTAAAGGAATCATATAAGAAAACAAATGTGACAGTGCCTTGGCATGTATAACAGTATAAAAAGATTACATTTCTTTTTTTCCCACCCAGGAAACAGACAAGGTTATAAACTATAAGATTACTTATACTACCATGATTGCAACAATGAGGACAAAATTACGAATAATAGTCATTAGGGAAATGCAAAGAAAAACCACAATAAAATACCACTTAACATACGTTTAGAGGACTGTGATAAAAAAGACTGACAAGAACAATAATTGTTGGCAAGTATGTGGAGAAATTGGCACCTTTGTACTATTCCCATTGCTGGAGGGTATGTAAAAGGTGCAGCTGCTCTGAACAGTTTGGCAGTTTCTTCAAAAGTTAAACATAAAGTTACCATATGACCCAGAAATTATATTCCTGAGCATATACCTAAGAGAAATGAAAACATGTCTACACAAAAACTTGAACAAAACAGCATTATTTATAATAGACTAATAGCAGTAACAAATCCAAATGTCCATCAGCTAATGGATGGATAAACAAAATAGTATATTCATACAGTAGAATTTTATTTGGCTATAAAAGGAATAAAATACTGTTATACATTACAACATGGATGAACACATTAAGTGAAAGAAGCCTAACATAAAATACCACATATTGTATAATCCCATTTACATGAAATGTCCCAAATAGGCAAATCCATAGACACAAAGTAGATTTGTGGTTGCTAAGGACTGCTGATGGTTATGGGATTTCTTTCTGGGGTGATAAAAATACTCCGCTATTAGACAGTGGTGATGGTTACACAACTCTGTGAATATACCAAAAATTACTGAATTTTACACTTTAAAATGGTAAATTTTATGTATGTGGAGGGAAGAAATAAAAGAAAAATGGCCCTGGCCGGTTTGGCACAGTGGATAGAGTATCTGCCTGGGCACTGAAGGGTCCCAGGTCAATTTTGGTCAAGTACTATGTCACCTTGATTGGGAATCTAAGCCTCCAATTTTATTCATAAGGAACCGAGAACCAAAAAGGTTGAAGGGCTTGTCCCTGATGGCAAAGCTAGTTAGTAGCAGAGGCAGGCTCTGAGCCTACAGGGGAGAGGTATGCTCACTAGAAACACAGTGCACACCGTTCTGTAGACAGTCATAGCCTTTACTGTAAAGTAACAAAATGGTAACTGTGAGTGTGGTTAGCCAGTCACTCATCTGGCGCTGCAGCAAATGCACATAGAGATGAAGGCCTTCCTTAGAAAAAATGATATGGGGAGAAACAAAAGGATACAGCCTTTTACTCTTCCAAGGCATTAAAAGAAAAGAAAAGAAACACAAAACTTCAGTTAATATACACACACAAGAATTGTGGGGTTTTGTAACCCCTCTTTCCCCAAAGACTGCCATTCCTAAGGGTCCTATAACACTGTATGCAAACCAGACAACATCTAGCCCCCGGACAGTGGGGGGAGGGTGATACCACCAAAGGTCAATGGAAAAACTTGAAATATGGTTAGAAATAGATTTTTAAATATAGGCCATAGCCTATTAATTGCCAAAAAGGAAAGGATAAAATAGAAAATAGAGTACATAATATGTAATAAAGGCAAATACTGTTCTGCAAGACTTGTGTTATAGGGTGTGTGTGTGTGTGTGTGCAGATCCTGGTTAAAGTTTGAAATCAAATACTCTAAACTGATATTTTTTTTGTCTCAGAGCATGGGACTAAAATGCTTACAGAATTACAGAGGTGGGGCAAAAAGTAGGTTTACACTTGTTTGTATGGAAAATAATAAAAAACGATAAATAATAATACAAGCATAAACTCTGTGTTTCACATATCCACAACTATAAATCTACCTTTGCCTTACCCCATGTATAATTTAAAAGATTCCTAAAGAGAAAAATGAAAATAAAACACACAAATAATCTCAAATAAACACAACAAAAATTTTTACAAAAATAAATAAATAAATAAAAACCACTCCTGGGAAGGAGCATGCATTAAAAGAAAAACATCAAGAAAGAGCAAAGACTACAAAATTACCTCGACAAGATGTCTCCGAGCTTTCCATTGAATCTAGTTTTAAAGCATCAAACACCTCAAAATCGGATTTTTTGACATGGATCAAATTGTTAATCGTGCCAAGCTGACTGGTAACCACAGGCTGAAACAGTGAATGGGAAAATTTTATGAGTCTTTGTTTCAAATCCATCTCTTCCATTCAACTCTCCTTTTTTTAAAAATGATCCCACCTCCATCTTTTATCAAGAGATAAATCCTCCAGTGCAGGAGGGCTGCTGCCAATCAATCCTAACAGCAGTGAAGTTTGACACCCAGGAGAATAATAGCCAGGAGGAGACTAAGTCAGTGGTTACCTTGGAGGTCAAGGCCTTACCTCTGATGGATCATGAACCCACTGTCCATCCACAAAGAACTTGTACTGATGCTCTCCCTCAGGGAGGTCCAGAATGGCCACAAAGTCATTATGGCTACAGAAGAAAACAGAAAGTTAAATAGGCCAAGTTCTTATCAGAAGACAGAAAGTAAATGTAAAAACCATGAGGCAATCAAAATAGCATGCCCATTATCCTCTATACTGCTAAGTGATTGTAACCTCTGAAGTAATTTATAAACCCAGTTTCCTTTCCTATATCATGTTCAGCATGTACTTGTCAACTCCTCCCAATAACTTTAGTTCTTAACTAATGTCTGGAAAAGATTAATAAAAATGTTAATCTCCCAAAATGGTCCATCTTAGTACAACTATGTTGTTTGGCAGAACAGACCCTTCACAAGTGTAAATAAGATAGCAGGTAGGTTCAGGACACAGAGTGGCTCATGGTACCCTTTCCATAATTTGGTGAGCGTCTTCTGGAAAATTACATACTGGCTGTTCTGATAACCAGTTAAATAATTCATTATTGCCCAGGAGGTAACAGATAACATTAGGACTTCACAGTGTGTTTTGTTTTAGTGCAGCAGTCAGAGCAACTAGACTCAGCGAGTTATAAAACCTTTCCTACAAGCATAGTAAGGAGTTGGATTAATACAGTCCTAAAGAATGTGCCCACAATGCTATAAATCCCTCCGAGTAGTAAAACACCTCTGACTCACTATGAGATTAAAAAAAAAAAAAAAAAAAAGTCACAGATTAGTCGCTGGTCACGGAAAATGTGCAAGAGTCCCTAGCTGGTGGAGAGTAGCCCAGCCAGGTCTCTACTCCTGGACTCTGTGGACTCAATCAAGACACTAGTCTCACCTCTTAATCAGTGGAATCTTGGCGCTCCAATTGTTGAAGGACCCGGAGATGAAGACCTCCTTGCCTCCTTCAGACCAGCGGATCACAGTGGGCCGGGCCTGCTGGGTGGGCTTTACGGAGTCGTCCAGATCCTGCTGCCATGACACAAACTCCTTGTCCCCAGGGAGCTGAAAGAAGGATCAGGTCATCCCTAAGTTGTGACCCAGAAATTCTTTAACACTCTCCTCCCTAGGGCAGAGAAGGGTGCTATGTTTCTGCTAAGGTTTAATAAGCCCTGAAATTAGCAAGTTTGGTTTTGAACACACTATAGATAAATAACTCATCTGGGACCAATACGGTCAAATAAATGACTTAACGGTCACAGGCTGCCCAAATCACATCCTAACTTCTAAGTCTGTTTCCTGTTATCACATTAACTCACAGGCAGGCAACTACTATGATATGCTTCTGAGTGCCTCTTAAGAGGAAAAATGTGAAAATGAAGTATCTATATATATAAAAGCCTAAGTGATGAAATGACGGGTTGACTGGTCGCTATGATGAGCACTGACCACCAGGGGTCAGATGCTCAATGCAGGAGCTGCCCCCTGGTGGTCAGTGCACTTCCACAGCCAACCTCCCATGGCCGACCTCCTGTGGTCCCTCCCCTAGGCCAGCCGGCATCAATTGCCAGCCAGGCCAAGGGACCCCCATCCCTGCATGGATTCGTGCACCAGCCTGTAGTCTTATATAATAAGAAGACTAATTTGCAGAATGTCCAGTGGAATGACTGGTTGCTATGATGCACACTGACCACTGGGGGCAGACAATCAAAACAGGAGCTGCCCCCAGCCCGCAGGCCCCAGGCAAGCCAAGGAGGGTGCCAGCAAGAGCCTCCCCTCCTTTCCCCAGATCAGCCCATAGATCAGCCCTGATTGCTGGCCAGGCCTAGGAACCCTACCTGTGCATGAATTTTGTGCACCGGGCCTCTAGTGGTTTATAAAAAATAATTACATTAGCCATGTATTTTTCATGTGCAAGTATGAACAGCTCTCAATTATCAGTTGCAATGGAAGATAGAGATACTAAAATTCATAAACTCTATTTTAGCTAATAGGTTACAAATTAAAAATATAAAAACCAGATCATTGGTTTCTTAAATTTTGAGAATTGGTTATGAACTCTTTATTTGCTCACCATACTAATTATTTCAGGAGTAGGAGTGAAAATTCTGGAGTCTCAAGAAACATCAGATAAAAAACACAGCTTCCTTTAACAAAAGCAGTTCCACTATCAAATGAGGTCTGTAGGATTCTGAAAAATATTGACTCCTTACTTAGTTTCTTTTCATGACCATATTGGGAAATTTCCTGGGGCTGAGAGACCGAAGAAAGGGGTTGACAATGCCATCATTACATCAGAGTTTATTAAGGGAACTTACATGAGGTTCATCTTGGGCTTCAGCAAGATAATGTGGATAAACTCCAAGCCCTGCAGCAGGCACTGAAGAAATATATAGAACAGAGCAAAATGGACAGGAGTACTGGGGCAGGCGCTGCCCTAAATAAGGGGGAATAGTCTTAGTGCCTGCCCAGGGCAGGACAAGGGCTTGTTCTAGGAAGCAACACACCTGGGACACACGGGAGAGGTCAAACAATCTCCGAGGGGATTTACAGGAAGCACTCTCTGTTCCGGCAGGGGTCTAGCTGGATGTAGGTAGAGGAAGTGTCTTAGAACAGTCTCTCTACATACCATCCTTTAGAAGAAGAGTTGGCAAACTGGCCAGTAAGCCAGATGGTTTATAAAGTTTTATTGGAAAATAGCACGCTCATTCATTTACTTAGTATCTCAGCTGTTTTCATGCTACAGTGGCAGAAATGGGTAGTTGTGAGAGACTGACTATATGGTCTGCAAAGTCTAAAATGTTCACTATCTGGCCCTTTACAGGAATACGTTTGCCGAGCCCCACTTTCCATAGGCTTAAATGACGTTGGTATATAGAGAAATAAGACTTTACAGTATCGAGTGAAAAGATTACCAAATAGCCCCGGCCAGGTGACTCAGTTGGTTGGGCATCATCCCATGCACTGAAAGGCTGCCTGATGGATTCCTGGTCAGGGCACATGCCCAGGCTGCAGGCTCCATCTCTAGTTGGGGTTTGTGCAGGAGGCAGCCAATCAATATTTTTCTCTCACACTGATGTTTCTCTATCTCTCCCTCTTCCTTCCTTTCTCTTTAGAATCAATAAAACACACACATATATATATGGCTACCAATAATGTTTTTTTTTTTTTTTAAAGGGCTAGCTTATTTATTTGGGCTTTATTTTCAAATGGCTGGTGGTCTACCCTCCATATTGCCTCTCGATCTTCCTCAAAACTGCACTGAGACACCAGTAGCAGTATAATCTGAAGTAAACAGAGAAAGAGAAATGAAGGCACTTTCACATTATATAACTGGTCTAAGAGAAAATCTGGTCTCCATATTCTTAAAGCAATGCACTCTTGTCTGACAAGCTGCAATTAGAATTACAAAATGTCTATATATGTCTAAGAATTATCCTCAGATTCTGATTCAGATAGAGGGCCTGGGAATCTTTAAGTTTCCCATATAATAATGTTAAACAAAGAAAAAATCCCTCATTTTCTAAAATAAATAAAATACCATATGACATGTCTGGAATTTGCTTCAAAATAATTGGTGGGGAGAGTGAATGGGTATAGTTATATAAATTCATTCACGATCTGACCATTGTTTAAACTGGGTGACAGGTATTTAGGAATTCATTACACTATTCTTCCTAAACTTCAAAACATGGAAAATGTTTCCATAAAGTGTTTAAACAAATGTCAGGCGATTTTAATGTGCAAACAGAATTGAGAACTGGCATTCAAAGCAATGTAGGCCCCACTGCCACTGTTTCTATCAGTTCCTTTTAGGATTTTCGATTTAGAATTTGAAAGCTACAAACTATTAATATGCCCAGCTTTGGAAGAAAGCTCTTCCATGTATGACATGACATTTCTGTGGGAGATATGAGTACTGCTGACTATCAGGAAGACTGTTTACGCCAAGTTGAATTGTCAGCACAGGCACCAGGGAAAGAGACAATTAGAATTACAGTATGAAATGTTCAAGTAAAACATTGGGGGAAGAAGACAGTAATTTGAGAACGATAAAACTTTAGATCTGGAAGAGATCTGAGGAATGATCTGAACCAATTTTCTCATTTCACAAATGGCAAGACTGAGGGAAGGGAAAGAATGATCCAAAACAAGGCTCCATTTTCAGACAGAGCAACCTGGCTTCCATCCAGGACACCGATTACCGCAGTCACAGTTTGACAAAAACACTATTCTTAATTCCTGAGTCATCAATGTAGGAAAATGGAAAAAAACACAGTGAGGTAGTTCACCTTGAGAAACCTTGAATAAGTAAATTCAGATGGCTGGAGGGGCAGCCCCAATGATGAGGAAGGAGTCCGGAAGTGGGGAAAGAAAGGATCAGAAAAGAAACCCCAAGAAATGGTCCCTCCTTTAATCATCCTCAGTCCTCCTTTCTCTGATTACGTTCTCAGTTGGGATCCGAGGAAACAACCAAATTCTATGTGATACCAACGAGGCAAATCATTCTCTATTCCTTTGTTGAAGAAATAAGAAACATCAAACACACTCCAATCTCCTCAATTCCTCCATTTTTAAATTTTTATTATTTTTTTTTTACTTCATCCAGTTGGCCTTAATGCATTTAACTCTGACAGCTCTAAAAGTGATTAGAAGCATTCGGATGGTAATCCTATTGCTGACAGCTCCATCTGTCCTGTCTGTAGAGCGAACACAAGTTACTGCTTTCCTGAAAGACCTTGGGAACTGAGAGCAAGTTCTCCGGAGCAGCCGTGGGTGGTCCTTGTTAGCCATGCCAGCCTTAGGAAGTATTACCGGGAAATGGGAGAAATCCTGGCATTATTTGCTCTGCCACTTGAGGAGCAGCTGGGCATGAGAGCAGCACAGCCTCAGTCACTGCAGAGAGCCGGAGCATGGGGCTTCTTTTGATCCCCACTGCCAGGAGAAAGTATTCGCACCAGCCAGCGGCTGCCACGCACAGCCAAGCCGAAGGGACAGGGATCGGGAAGTGCTGAGCTCCTAGAAGCGTAAACACGATACGGATACACACAAGCTGTCAGGGGAAACATCCATTTACCCTCCTCGGGGCACATGTGAGGAACGGAAGTTTTCCACCAGCGCTTTTCAACCTATACCAGTATTCATCAATACTTTGGAAGAGGACCCCTTCCTGCTAGGAGAACCAAAGATAAGGGGGTGGGGGTGGGGGTGTCCCCCAATCATCCTGAACATGTGGCCGACAACAGACTGGTCGGAAAACAAGCATTCTCGCTTCTAGTTGGAGGCAGCACTGCAATTGCCATCAACATCTCCATCCCCGAAAAATCCCGTGAATTCACAAAAGCCCCGTAACCTGGATCCGTGGGATAAGAGCCAAGAAAGGGAGGAGGAGGAGGAGCCCTGACGCCCAGGCCGCCGCAGTCCGCTCACCTTGGAGTCGGGCAGGCTGAAGACGCTGGGGTCGTCGGTGCTGCCCACCATGATCTTGTGCTCCTTGCCGGGGCCCGGGCCGCCGGCGCCCTCCGCGCGCGCCGCCTTGGCGCCGTGGCGCTCGCCGGCCGCCCGGTCGCTGGCGGTGTTGCCCATGGCTGCGGCTCGCGCCGGGGCCACCTGCCGTGGGAACCACACGGAGCGGGGGGAACCCCCCGCCGGCGGCGGCGCGTCAGGGGCACCTCCGGCCCCGCCCCTGCGCCGGGGGTTCCGGTTCAGGGAATCCCCGCCGCCCGCCGCGGGGAAGCCGCCGGGAGGAGGTCGCTCCCCTCCGGGGCCTCCGGGAACGCCCGGACCCCGCCCGTGCGCCTCCGCCGCGCGCCGATCGGGAATCCCGCGTCCGGGAACTCCCAGGCGTCCCCGCGCTCACGCCAGCACCCCGACCATCACCTCCCGCCCGCGCGACGGGGGGGTGTTCTTGAGGATGAGGCCACCAATAAAGTTATTGAAAATTGAAGCCGCGCCCGGGTAGCAATCCGGGTTTCCTCCTAAAATGGACACTGCCCGCCCGCCCCGCGCGCGTTCCCTGCGGCCGCGCGGTGCCCGGGCCCGCCGGCCTCTCTAGCGCCGCCTCCTCGATGGTGACAGCCCCGCGCGCAGCCTCCAGTGCCGGGCGGGGCCGCCGTCCGCTGTCCACCGGGGCCGGGCCGGGCCGGGCCTCCGCCCGCAGGATCGCCCCGGGGAACGGCTCGCTGAGTCCGGGCCCCGCGTGCGGGGGGTCCGGTCCCCAAATGACACTCGGGCTGCCACCCGATCTCCCGTGTTCTGTACCCGGAGGAACGGTGCTTTCTTCCCGCCCCCCCCCCCCCCCCCCCGGGCCTCAGTTTCGCCAAATAACGGTTTCTTGTTCGTAGGCGACCCTAGAGGGAATAGGAGCCAGGGCTTCCCACTGACGGCAAGAGGACATGAAGTTGAAATTAAGTGCTGCAGGGAGCATGGGGGCCCGGGGAAGGAGTGATGAGGAGATAACCTTAAGTTAGTGAATTGCCTTGCCGGTCTAAAAAGAAGGGGGAAGAAGCTATTCCAAGCTAAGAAACAGTGTATGCAATGAGCAAACCCCAGAAGAAATGAAATCCAAGAAAGAGAGCAACAACAAAAACAACCGAGGAATAAAATAGTGGGCAGAAGAGGGCAAAGACAATCCTGGGTTTGGGACACATCCAGGCTTTCACTGATAATGAATGGTATTTAACAGTTCTTACTTTGCATTATAATGCTATGGGTGTCTCATTCCCTACTAGCAATCCTTGTCGCTCAACACGTGTTACAGAGACCACCTAAGCTAAGAGATTGTTCCAAATGCAAAATCTGGACTCCATCCCGTAGAATTGGAATTAATACACCTTAGGGGACAGGGGTTGGGCAGGCTCTAAAGAACTGCCACAAGGCTCCTATTAATCCTCCATATATCTTGTAGGTTCAGGTAAAGAACAAAGAACTAAATTATCCAACCCAAATTCCTAACTTTCCCCAGGCCTGGATTGGGCACTCTTCCCAGTAAATTTTATTGGGGTCTCATGTCCTCTGTCCACTCTGTCCAATATGATTACCTTTTTTATTGTTCCCAGGCTAGCTTTTAGTATCCTGTTCCGAGAATTATGTCTCCTGGTTGGGGCGGGGGGGGGGGGGGGGGGGGGGGGGGGAGGGAAGTGGCAGTTCTCTGGAGTGTGTGAATGAATGTTTACAACTAAACTAGATGGAATTCTGCTCTGTTACCTGCTTCTGCTTCCCAGTTTATTAAGATATTTTAGTTCCCCTTTGCATTTCTCCGTGTATTAATAACTAGCTATCTTCCTCATATCAATAACTGGCTACCTACACTGACAATGCGAGCCAGAAACACAGCGCAGCAGCCAGGACCTCATCCAGGGAGGGAGGAGTCTGGTTGTCGCTGACACACCATTCATCTGGGAGGAGCACAGACTGCATGGACACTCCTGCAGGAATGTGCAGCAGTAGCTGCAGCTGAGCACAGAGGCCTGGGCAAAAACACAGCAAAGGAGAGCGGCCACAGTCGTCGGGCTGTTGGCAATTCAGACAGTGAAGCAAGGCCACAAAGCCTGGCCGCCTGCCCTTAGCCTCCCAGAAATTGCCTCCCTTTGCCCTTGATGTCGGGCTGTAGACCACATTAACTGGTGCCCAAGGAAACGTGCCCAAGGTCCAACACTGCAGAATCACATTTCTCCCTAGCACAGGTACACTCTTTAACCAGAACACAGGGAGGACCCGGGCAGAGGACCGAGGTCTCCTTTACTGAGTGTAAAACAACAACAAAAAAGAGAGTATAAAACAACAAAGAATGAGTGTAGGGATTCCCCTGCCCACCCCAAAGCATCCTGGCTACACTGACCAGAGGTCAAGGGAGCCGATGCTGAGATCTCAGAGCTAAAAACCTTGTGATTCAGCTCCACCTGCTGGAAACTAATAGAAATATGCCTGTGTGTTAATCAGCTAGAGATATTGGATGCTTCAAGAAGGTGGGCATTTGCCTTAACCAGTTTGGCTCAGTGGATAGACTGTCAGCCTGCAGACTCAAGGGTCCCAGGTTTAATTCTAGTCAAGGGCATATACCTTGGTTTCAGGCACATACCCAGTGGGGAGTGTGCAGGAGGCAGCTGATGGATGTTTCTAACTCTCTATCCCTCTCTCTTCCTCTGTAAAAAAATCAGTAAAATATATGTTGTTTTTTTTAAAGGTGGAAATTTGAAAAAGCAGGGATAAACAGCTGTGAGGACCAAGGAAGATGTCTACCACTCCTCCTTTCTTGTGCTAAGATACCGACTTTCACAGACAAGGAGGAGTGGTAGATGTGTGCTTTAGAATTTATGGAATACTTCATTTTATTGTGCTTTGCTTGACTGCGTCTCAGAGGTGTTGCATTTTTAATTGAAGGCAAGACCCTCCACCAGCAAAATGACTAAAACTCGCTTTATTGCAGTACTTGTTTTATTATGGTGGTCTGGAACTGAAATCACAATATCTCTAAGGTATGCCTGTAAATTACAGACAGGATATACATTTGTGTTTCAAACCAAACAGGACATTAGAGATGACATTCTGAGTCTGGTCAATGATCTATTCCAGAGTATTTTCTAGAACAGGCTTGCCCTGTTTTCTAGAACATTTCAAAATGTTAAGCACTCCTTTCCTTAATAATACTTTTGTATGTATGTGTATATTTATGTTGAGATACATTCACTATATTATTTGATCCTTTAAAAATACATTCATACTTTTACATCTTATGTCAAATTTACTTATGCAATTAAGTAATCATTAACGTACTCAGGTCATATGTTTTAGGCAGCACTAACAACAAACAGATTACTTACAAAGTATCTTCCTCCACGGAATTTACTAGTTCAAGAAGGAAACAGGTGAGAGAATCAAGTGATATATATAGTCTGACAAAGGCAGAGTGTCTACATAAGTTATTCGGAATTCTGGGTTGGAGATTTGTGTATTCTTCCCCTCTTATTAATTTATTAAAACACTAGAGGCCTGATGCATGAAATTCATGCACCGGTAGGATCCCTAGGCCTAGCTAGAGATCAGGGCCAATTGGGGCCTTCTGCCTGCCAGCCAGGGCCTTCCCCCCTGCTGCTGGCTGCTGGCTCCGGCCTTCCTTCATTCTGCACTTCCCCCTGGTGGTTAGCGCACATCATAGAGAGCAATAGAACTTCCGGTCTCCTGGTTGAACTTTCTGCAAATGTTAGATTATTAGAATGACCCATGATCCTAGAAAGTTTAAGGTAGTTCCTTCATTGAGATAATAAAGACCTTTTGCTGAGGGAAAAAGAATCAGAATGACCAGATATCAGATACACTAGTGAACAGCTAATGAGACAAAATAAGTATGTATATATCTTAGGTATACACAACTGTTATAAGACCGTTATTTCTTTTTATCCCTCAGGAAACACACTTAATTTCAATATTAAAAACTAAAAGTTGAGCTTCTAATAGAAAACTAAATCCTATCAGAAACTTAGTTACATGGAATCACCCATTTCTTATACAGATATTGACTTCTGCTCCCTACCATAATATTTGATAACAACAAACATTTATTAAGCACCTATCATGTAATAACTCTGCTAAGGGCATAAAAAGACTAACAGAGTATCAGAGCTTACAGACCAGGGATTGCTGGAAGGAAAACATGATGGGTCTTAAGAAGAAGGGAGATAAGTCAATATGAATGAAAGGCTGGAATTGCCTTGTAGGGGAAAGAGGATTAATGCTTTGGAAAGGGAAATAAAAGATTTTTGGTGAAACTCAAGAGGAATTCAATCTTGTCAGAGTCTAAAGGCATCTCTAGATCCAGCTAAAAATAGGTTATCATTACAGCAAAGATAACAATGGCTAGCATAAACCTGGCCATTGTTATTGTTGAAGTCATGGAATCACTGCTTTCAACCTCTCTTGTCATCATAGGCTTCCTGATACGATCTTCTGTGGTGAGGATGGCTTTCCGAGCTCCTTCCCACTTTCCAGGACCCTGTAGACGATACTGGATTGGAGTGCAGGGTCCTGTTAATAAGTGCCATGCCAATTTGGGGTCGGCGAAAGCTAGAGACAGCAGATTGGGCCTGACGCCCACCAGATCAGCAAGCTCTTCCGTGGTGTCTACATAGTCTGCCTGAATGGTATGGCGCTGGCTCTCCACATACCTGAAGCAGAGAAGACAAAAGTCATGGCCTATCAATAATTTAGTCAGTCAACCAATCAATCAGTCAACTAATCAGCGCTTTCTAAATGTCTGTTATCAGCTCAATATTGGTCTAGGACAGTGGTCGGCAAACTGCGGCTTGCGAGCCATCTGCGGCTCTTTGGCCTACTGGTGGTTGGCAAACTCATTATTCAACAGAGCCAAATATCAACAGTACAACTATTGAAATTTCTTTTGAGAGCCAAGTTTTTTTAACTTAAACTTCTCCTAACGCCACTTCTTCAAAACAGCCTCTCCCAGGCCGTGGTATTTTGTGGAAGAGCCACATTCAAGGGGCCAAAGAGCTACATGTGGCTCTAGAGCCACGGTTTGTTGACCACTGGTCTAGGAGGTATGGAAAATAGAGAAGAAAGATAAGATATTGTCTCTATCCTTAAGGAGAAGAATAGAAGATAGATACACGTGAAACATAGAAGAGTTTTGGAAAATCATGTGATCTTAGACTGCTAAGTAGAAATGTAGAAGAGGGTAGTTAAAATAGAGCTATAATATGTCCTTGAAGGATGTGGAAGACACAAACAAGCTGACAACAAAGAAGAAAGTATTGCAAATCAGGGGGGCAGCAGAGTGAAGGAATTAAGCAGGAATGAGAGTAGGATGTGAGTATAAAATATCTGTAGGCATTACCTACAGTAGAGGAGGAATGTTGTGGAAAACAAGGATGGATAGAGAGAGGCAAGTATAGCAGTTCCAGATGCAGGGGACTCTGATCTTATCAGAAAGAGAGAACCCATCATAAACATTCTGAAGCTTGGGACTCACAACTGTTTTACCAGGGCAGTGGTAATGGGGTCCACAGAGCGCAACTTTGGATGGCCCATGTTAATTCAGAATCTTGAAAGGGGAGGAGGGGGATGACTTATTCCACAAGAGGAAGTAACGCTCCAAATGGAGATTGGTGGGATGATTACACCAAATGCAGATTTGAAAAGCTACAAGGGATTTTTAGAGGGGAAATGTGGTAATCATGATACCTGTGTGGTAGGATTGAGATTTAGAGAGCTAACTGGTAACTTTCTTTCTTTCTTTTTTTTTTTTCCTTTCTAGAATAAAAATAAAACAAAAAACAGTGGGACAGAAAGGAAGTAAGAGAAAAGGCCATGTCAAATTAATTGAAATTAGATGGGCTTATTAGGAGAATCCAAAACAAGGACAGGAAAAAAAAAAAAGAAGATAAATCTGAAGTAGAACTGATGAAATAAAATTCCACAGGAACCGGCAGATTCTAAAGTTTAGAAGAGAAGAAGGTAAGACAGGACAGAATTTGGGAGCTCTCCTTTATGGATGCCATGTTTGCTCAAGGATTTATAGACATACATTTATCCTATCCTGGGTTGCAAGCTGTAGTATTCATGCATCTTTCACAGAGAGATTCACTAGTACCTGCCTTGTAGGGTTGTTATGAGGAATAAATAAATTCATACATATAAACCATCTAGTGTATGTACCTAATGGACTCTCAATAAAGGGTGAATTATATCCATAGGGACTGCTCAGTCAGGTGGCCAGACAAAAATAAGCCAAAGTAAAGGGAACAGGAACGTTGAAATAAGGTATATTAGTCCCAGAAAAACAAGGAAAGAAAGCACTCCAAGAAGGATGAGATGTTTAAAAGTGTCAAACTCCAGGAGGAAAATGAAGATGGGCATGGATGACTATCAGGAGAGCCGTAGCAAGGAGTTACAATACAGGGGCCTTCAGAGAGAGAAAAGGATGAGAATTGAGCATATCATGCAGAATATTTACGGCAGACATTTGGCAGTGAAAGGAAAGAGGAAACTAGAGGACCTGGAAAGGGTACCAGGGTTAAATAAAAACTCTCTCCTCCTCCAGGATAGGGAAGAGGAACGCTAGTATAACCAATTCCACAAAAACTACATCTTTAGGCTTGGATGATTGTGCCTCTGACTTTAGCACACAATTTTAGGAACTTACCATCAACTTCCACTTGGTCCAAATCACAATAAGCTCAGTTCTGAAATTCAGGTTGCTAAATTACTGTGTCCACCCAAGCACTGAGCAGCTGGTTGATGCTACCACCTTTTCATATCACACAGACTATTCACACCAGGAGCCAGTGTGAACAATGACCTCTGCAGATTTGTAACCCTACCAGTGGATTTGGAATTCGACCATATTTATCACTCAGTTTTTTGTCATTCTTCCTGTCTCTGGTGGCTCTGCTAGCATTTCAAATAATAGTGCCAGAAACCATAGGCCTGATTTTCTCTTCAAGTGTCTTTTCCTACTTGAAAATTTCTTTCAGGCCCTACATACAGGATTTTAAACACTTTTCGTAAGCTTGTCTCTTCTTTCCCCTCCATATCTGAACCACTTGGTACTATTTCTTCAGTCTGTTGTCACAAACTCTTATTTCCTTTTCCTGCGCAATACAATCTCAATCCTTAAACTAACACAATTGAAGATTACTATAGTACAATATTGTTCTTATTAAATAGAAAAATGAAGCACGTATTTTCCTGGGAGAATTTCTCACCTTTTTTCCATTTGTCCTTGAGCCTTAGCTATTTCTGTCATCATTTCATTTTTTGAGGGCAATGTCTTTAGCCCTAAAGAGAAAAAAACAAAAATATAAGTGTAAAGCTACCTCAGTAGGAACAATAATCCTATTAACAATTACTGTGTCCTGGAGAATTCAAAGAAATACAGGGTAGTTTTCTTTACTCCAGGAGGTTAAACCTTTATCCTACCACCGCCATAATATAATAATATAAACTAACAACAGTAGCTTTCTATATTCTCCTTTGTCTTTGGAAGATACTTGCTTAACTCTGCCTTCCAACCGGTTCCTGGTTCCTCCCTAGCATAGTCCTTTATTAGAGAAATAAAGTATGGACACAAGGAAATAATAAATGGCCTTAAAGTATATGGAAAATAAAGTACAAAGTAAAAGAGCAGGGGAACACAACCACAGTTGTACTCTTAATAACAAAGAGGTTTTATAACCCAGGAGAAGGAAGTAAAAAATAATGTTCAATCCCATTTCATGCCTATAGTCCTATGGAAGATAAGCCTCACCTTCTAAACTTTATTTGGTCAGGATGGGGGTAAGGCTAAGGGCAACTCATAATGTCCAACCTTGACAGATAAATTTAAACACTGATGCACAGTTCCGATAGTAGGAATTTGACATCAAGGACCTGGCTAGAAAGGTAGAATAGTATTTAAGCCAATATAACCAACTCTTAAGTTTAAAGAATTAGCGTTATGCCCAGATTTATAGGCACTATGCCATGCAGATAATTTTTTAAAAATATATATTTTATTGATTTTTTACAGAGAGGAAGGGATAGGGATAGAGAGTTAGAAACATCAATGAGTGGGACACATCGGTCAGCTTCCTCCTGCAACACCCCCTACTGGGGATGTACCCGAAACCAAGGTACATGCCCTTGACCGCAATCGAACCTGGGACCCTTCAGTCCGCAGGCGACGCTCCAGCCACTGAGCCAAACCTGTTAGGGCATGCATGCAGATAAATTTTGTCACACCCAGCCATAAGGTGTTACTCCTTAAAATTCTGGATGGTAATATATTTTACTGTACACAAGCCTTCTCTTTACAAATACACTCATCAAATGGTTATCTCTTTCCTCCTTCAACCTCAATGCTGACATCATTACCTTCTGAGGAGATGATTTAATTATGTGGCTGCTCTAGTTGCTGGAACATATTCTCTTTATTTGATCCCCAAATCTACTTCCATGCAACTTGCACTGTTGGACTTAGCTCTGCCTTTTGAAGCCACAGAGTCTAATCTTATATGACAGGCCTTCAAATATTTGAAAACAACGGTCATAACTTCTTCAAATCTTATCGTCAGCAGCAGAGCACAAGGTCCCCACACCACAGGCTTCACGTGCTATCCCATGTCGGTTGCCTTCCTCTGGGCACAGGCCCGTTCTTATCCTGGTGTCCCCCTTACACTGTGAGACTCAGAAACTCCCCACTCAAGAAATAGACTTCTGTATTTCACCATGTGGTTTCTCATTTGGGAATTATTACTTATATTCATAAGTCAATGAGGAAATGCTGAAATGCTTCATTTGAGATTAAGCAGAGGTCCCTTATGATGCTTGAGAAACATATTTTGAGAGTTGATTTCCAAATTGCTTCTTATAGTACAACCATACCTTTTACTTCTATTAACTAGAAACATTATGGGGGAAGGAAGTATATTTCTTGCCTTGGAGAGGCAGCCAATTTATCAAAAGCAAAAAATTAAAATTAAAAATAAAAACTTCTATGTACATATACAATATTCTGTGGTACAATTCTTTCTTAATTCATTGATACTGATCTTGCAGTATTTACTTATTCAGATACGTATTATATTTTTACCACATTTTTTATCTTCCTCTTCTTATCTTAGGTTTTCAGTTTACTATTATTACTACTACTACTACTACTACTATTTTCTTTAATCTTTACTTGAGGATTTTTTCCCATTGCTTAGGGAGGATGGGAAGAAGGAAGGATAAGAGGAAAGGAGGGGTGGGAAAGGGGTGGGTGGAAATGAGTGAAGGGTGGTGAAAAGGGGGATCCCTGCAATTATGACAACCTTGAAAATTTTAATTAAAAAATAAAATAAAGCAAGAACATAAGTATAATTAAACATACTACAAGAAATTAAGTCGTCAAGTTGCATGATTACTTACCTTTAAATACTTGAGTGACCCAGCGGCCTTGGAGCTCTGAAATGGGCATAATGGCACCCAAGGGCTGGATCAAGCCTATGAATGCAAGAGTTGGCTTTTCCAGGTTAGGAGGGAAGACTTTTTTATACAGGGATATCTTGTTTTTTACTACTCTGACAGAATCTTCAAGGAAAGGAAAAGCAAAGCTATAGCCGGTGGCAAAGATAACGGCATCAATGTCATCCTCCCTGGAGCCGTCTTCAAATATGGCAGCTGTCTCTGTGAATTCCTTGACATTTCCTTTCACCTTCACCCTCCCAGAAATTATACGATTTGGCAGATCATCATTGACTGTCGGATGCTGGCTCAGAGCCCTGTGAGTAGTGAGAAAGACCAAAAATAAAGAAAGGAGAGTGATCATGGGGGCAGGGAGGGAGAGAAAAATCAGTTAACACGAAAGTAAAATTCCATTTTGATGGAGGTGGTTAAACAATATGCCAATGGCCTCCATCTTGGTCTATCCATGGGATTTGGGAAAGGTCTAATGTATACTGGCACAGTTCAGGATCTCAGAGCAGAAGTTGTACCCTGGATGTCACTGAAAGGAAAGATGTTAGAGAAGTGAAGGAAGAATGGTTTCATTTGGAGAGTGCATGTATGGTTTCTCAAAAAACCATACAGACTTTCTGCAGAACAATTGGCTTGGGTCTTTTTAAAAAAGGAGAATTATTTCAAATTAAGAGAAATTAAAGAGACAGGACAGCTAAATGCAATGGTGTAATACCTGATAGGATTTTATATTTGAAAAAAGAAAGCTATAAATATATATTATTGGGACAACAGTAAATTTGAATATATTAGATAATGATATTTTATCAATGTTAAATTTTCCAAGTATGGTCATTGTATTATGCTTATGTAGGAGAATGCCCTTTTTCTCAGGTAATGCATGTTGAACAATTTAGGGTAAAGTGTCTTGATGATAGCACCTTCTATTTAAATGGTTCAGAAAATGTATGTATGTATTATGTATGATATAATTGAGAGAGAGAGAGAGAGAGAGAGAGAGAGAGAGAGAGAGAGAGAGAGAGAGAAAGCAAATTTAGTGAATCTAAGTGAAAGGTATTGGTGCTCATTATCCTTACTATATTGTCTGAAGTAAATCTGAACATTTAAAAAATAAAATGTTGAAGGGGGGAAAAAGTTGGATTTAAAATCAGCTTCTAAAAAATGTTTTCAGGAGCTGTGTGAGGATTCCCATCCTTCATGCTCCCATAGCATGCCATGCATTTCTCTATCTTATCCTATTGTCAGTCTCATCATTAGAGTTCTTAAGGTAAAATCCACTTCTCGACTCTGCCATTTATTGCTTGTGTGCTCTTGGGATAGTTCCTCTAAGTATCAATGTTTGTAAAATGGAGGGGAAAAACCCATCTATAGGACTGTTGTGTGAGGGCTAAATGAGATAATGCATAGAACTCATTTAGTACTGTGCTTGTCATGTTAAGTCCTCAAAAAGGTAAGGTACTATTGTTTGTATTAGTATTACTATTAGGTCTTTAATATCTGCATGCTCATTCCCAGTATAATGCTTGGCTTGTAAGAGGTGCTCAATGTTTGTTGGATGAATGAATGATTCATGTACTGCCCTCTGCCACCATTTTGTTGTTGTTGGACATCACATAAAAAGAACTAGTACTGCTCTGGCTGGCATGGCTCAATCTGTTGGAGTGTTGTCCCATATACCAAAAGGTGGCAGGTTTGACTCCTGGTCAGGGCACAGACCAGGTTGTGAGTTTGATCCCATCCTGAGAACATACCTGTGTTTAGGCTTTAGGCCATACATTTTGTGGTCAAACCTTTGGTTCATCCTTCTTTCCATATATGTGTTTGCTAATGATTGACCAACAATCTTCGAAAATAAATGTGTAAGCCGAGAGTTGAACAACATATCAAACGGATATCCTTGGTCCCCTACACGATTCAGGATCCAAGCCCCTCTCCTGGTGCTGAGGAAAACCTAGGGCACAGAAAAAAATTGTTTGCTTTTACCATTCTTTGGTTCATCATCCTTTAACAGTACCCTGTTTTCCTCAAGAGTAAGTTTAAACTCATTAGTCTGGCTTTTCAGTGCCTGCACAATCTTTTTTTATTTCCTGCTATTTTCCTTCTCAGATACTAAGCTTACAATTAAATTGATATAGTCACTGACCAAGAATATGTCTTGCTCTTCACCACCACTGCATTTTACTGTCATCATGCCTCCTTGAAAAGCCCCTATTCACTTAATTCTCTAAAACCTATTCACTTTTAAGATCCTTATCAAGCCCTAACCAGTAAGAGGAATGCAGGAGGGGGAATGGATGATTCTCTTATCATTGAAATTTCTATCTTTCTCTTCCTCTCCCTTCCTCTCTCTAAAATCAATAGAAACCTATTTTACAAAAAATAAATTAGAAAAAAAAAGAAAGGAATGTTTCCTCTTCACAAAAGCATTATAGCACAAAAATTCTTATAACAAACTGTCCTTGATACTCTTGACATTTATAGTTTTATTTAAAACTAGAGGCCTGGTGCACAAAATTTGTGCCCATGTAGAGTCCCTAGCCCTGGCCTGAGATCAGGGCCAATTTGTGGGGCAACCGGTGGGGCAGTCCCAGGGCCCCTGCTGGCACCCACCTTGGCCGGCCTAGGGCCTGTGGGCTGTGGGCAGCTCCTGTGTTAAGCATCTGCCCCCTGGTGGTCAGTGTGCATCATAGCGACCAATCGATTTGCATATTAGACTTTTATTATATAGGATGTTTGATTTACAAACCATCTCTCATAAGTACAATTTAATATGTAAAGCAAAGAGTCATATCCAGCAATTGAGTTTCTTTGACTTCCTTTACTGGTGTGACAGTGCTGTCCCTGCTAAGCAGACATTGTTTTGCCATTTGTTTTCCCAGGCTCTCTCAGACACAACTACCTTATCTCCATCAAAGTGGGATGCTTTGTTCCTCGGCAATTTACTGTTTCTCATTGCATGTAAGGCCCCTAGTTCCCTTATAACTGACCATTGGACAAGTCAATGATATTAAAGAAGGCTCATGCTTTGGATCCCCACTACATACCTTGTAAATTCTTTTTATCATAATACCCACACACATTTTTACCCTTTCTTGTTTATATAACAATTTCTTGATAGATGCTGTTGAATTAATTCATGGAGCATCTGAAATCACTTTTGTGGTGATAAATGGAGATAGGACTGAGAATGGAGTTTCTGAGTATAGGTCATGTAACCAAGTTGTAGCATTAAACTTCTGTTTAAAAAATAATTTAAGCCCAGTTGGGCTTGAGCATTGACCCATGAACCAAGAGATCGCCAGTTCAATTACCATTAGGACACATGTCTGGGTTGCAGGCTTGGGGCATGCAGGAGGCAGCTGATTGGCGTTCCTCTCTCTCTCTTCCTCTCCCTTTCTCTCTGAAATCAATAAAAAATATACATATATTAAAAATTTTTTAAACATATTTGTGGGGAAGCACACCTTAATTAAAGTTATTGGAAGAACAACCAGATATTTAACTATCGCTGACAGTTATGATTCAATAAAGACAAAATATAAAAATGACATGTCTTTTTCTAGGAATTTATAATAATGACACTTCCTTCCCAGTTCAAAATCTGATGAAAACAAACAAACAAAAAAGAAAATCTATGATGAAAACAAACAAATAAGAAAACCTCAAGGACACAGAAATTGCTTGCAGTGTTTCCCAAACTTGACATATGTGTACCCCTTCTATAATTTCTCATGAGTACCCCTCGTACTCATGAGAACGTAGAATTAGGCACAGCTAAGCACGGTGCAGTGCATATTCCCACGTGTACCCCCACCAAACTCTTCCCGTACCCCTGGGGGTATACGTACCACACTTTGGGAAACACTGCTTTAGAGAAAATAGCATTCCATGTTGCCTAATTGTATGCAAAGGCTGGGGCAAGCTGCCTTCAGGTGCCACAGTGTGGACACTTTCATACTGATAAGCATGTTGTCTTTTTTTTTTTTTTTAATATATTTCATTGATATTTTACAGAGAGGAGGAAGGGAAAGAGATAGAGAGCTAGAAACGTCAATGAGAGAGAACCATCGACCAGCTGCCTCTTGCACACCCCCCACCGGGGATGTGCCCGCAACCAATGTACATGCCCTTGACCAGAATCGAACCTGGGACCTTTCAGTCCGCAGACCGACGCTCTACCACTGAGCCAAACCGGTTTCGGCAGCATGTTGTCTTTTGAAAGATTTGAGTGCTTCTTTTTTTTCCAGTTAGGGAGTAAAGAGGAAAAGTCCCCCACCCTCCTCTGAGTGAAAAGCTCTCAGTGACCCAGTGTGCTTTCCTTCACATAAGAGCATGGCATTTCTGGCCAACCACAGATCCACACTTCTGGGTGCTGCCTCCTGACAAGCTCTCCCATCAATCATTTGGTCTTCTTCAATGCCAGAGGCACACTCTGAAGAGACAGCTAATTGGGATTAAGACTACAGTCGTTGTCATGAACTAATTCCTTAGTGTGAGGCCAATCGAATGATGGGAATCTAACTGGCAACCTTGGCTCCATCATATCATCAATCATAATGTTGCCAACCGAGGTGATGAAACCTTGCCATCGGCACTGATGGGCTATATACTCTGTTGAGTCCACCTGCAGCTTTCTTGGAGAAGCAAAGTAAATAATTTGCTGATTCAAACCTGCTTGGCTGTGTGGCTAATCTCCACAGCCAGGTCGCCTCCAGAATTCCCAATGCCAATTACAATGACTCTCTTTCCAGTGAAACTGTCTGGATTCTTATAATCTCGACTGTGGAAGTACTGTCCTTTGAACTTCTCAATTCCTGAAAGATAAGGGAAAATAATTATCAGGTGATAGTTTATCTGATATCATTTGACAATTTTTTTTTATATATATACTCTTTACACGTCCTCCCTTTACTCAGTTGCACACTTGCCTGTCTGAATATTTTTGTCTATCCCCCCCCCATAGCCTCAAGGCAGAACCTTGTGACTTCTGTATCATAAATAGTCTGCTTCCCTCGAGATGTTTATATTTTGGATTTGTAGACTCAGATATACAAATGGCTTCAGAAAACCTCCATTCTCTTTTGTTTTTTCATCCTCTTTAAATACCCACTCCTATTTCAATTCGACTATATATTTTTATAAACTCTAGAATATACATAGACTGCTCTTGAGCCTAAAAATCCAGGCCCCAAACGGTAATAAATTCTTTCCTTAAACTTTAGTTTCTTCCTTATTAACTCAGTATTTCTGTTTGTTTCCTTGGTTGCTGAAATCCTTATTCAACCTAATTAATACACATCAACTCCACCTTTTTTTCTTTGGATTCTTAGAAAAACTAAAGTCATTGTGGAACTTAATATACTGTATAGCACCTTTTAACTTTCCCCTAGTCTCCAAATTACCATTATCTCTACCTCCCAACATCTTTTAGGAGGATATACAGAATTAGGATAAGCCTTATTTCACCTCAAGGTCAGAATCACTCAGAACGAAATCCCCCCATTCCTCAGGGACAAGGTCACAGGTATGGTCCAAGGGTCTTTCTTCCTGGTAGGCTACTCACCAGGGAAGCTTCCCAAGGGTAAGTGAGCATTGGTATGATGGCCGGTGCAAACCATGACTCCATCGAAGACATTCATCTCCTTTTCCCCTTCACATTCCGTGACCACCTCCCACTGGCCTGAAGTGGAGAAATCAGGCCGCTTTTTCACACTGCACACAGCGGTCTGAAAAGGAAAGTGATAGCAACAGGGGATGGTAACCACAGCCTCTACAGCAGACATCTCTCCTTGTGGAGTGTGACACAAAGGGCTGATATCACACAAGAAGGCTCATGCAGGGATATTTGATGTCCATATTCCACCAGTGAGAACATTTTTGTGAGATGTGGCCAGAGTGAGAAAACTTCCACGAGAGAGGCTAAATAAAATAGAGTTGGCAGGCTAATGACGTACTCTTCTCCGCTTCTAGAAAAGTGCAGATTATTAGGTCTCTTGGATTATCCCCTAAGGCAGTGATTTTCAAGTGGTGTGCTGCAAGCATTTTTAAAACATGCAATACCTGACTATTTAGTCAGAGGCACTGACCTCTTTTCCCTGAGACTGTCAAGTAAAAATAAGTGACAACAGCCAACACAACAATAGCCATCTGGTGTAAATGAATTGAAATTATACCTACTTTTTTTCAGATTGGCAAAAAAAAAAAAAAAAAATGTTTTGTGTTTTTTTTGGTGTGCTGCAGAATTTTAGTAATTAGTACATGTGCCAGGAAGTGAAAAAGACTGAAAATCACTACCCTGAGGCAATGCAACACTTGACTAAAGCTTAGACTTCTCCTAAAATACTCTATGCAATAAATGCCTATTCCTCCCCTGACCCGCAAACATCCTAAGGCTCTCTGATGTCTTCTTACTCCACGTCTTGTTCTCATTGTCTAACTTTAAACCTGTGACTGAGCTAGAGGGCTCCCTAAGGAAACCTTAAGAATGTATTCCTATGTGCTTCTAGGGTCTAATAGAGACATGACATCTTTATGCTCTCGCCATCTTGCACTACTTATAGTTCTTGCTTTTACAAGTGCTGGTGCCTCTGTCTGGATCATCTTTTTTATACCTTCTTCATTTGACTGATTCCTGCTCACCCTTCAGCTTTTAATTATCTCCTCTAGGAAAACTTCCCTGGTGCCTGATGATTGATGCCCAGATGAGTTAAGCATCCCTCCTCTGAGGTGCCATATGTAGATCTCCATAGCATTTATCACTTAAAAAAAAAAAAAAAAAAAAGTAGCCGAAACCGGTTTGGCTCAGTGGTAGAGCGTAGGTCTGCGGACTGAAAGGTCCCGGGTTCGATTCCGGTCAAGGGCATGTGCATTGGTTTCGGGCACATCCCCAGTAGGGGGTGTGCAAGAGGCAGCCGGTCGATGGTCGATGTTTCTCTCTCATCAACGTTTCTAGCTCTCTATCCCTCTCTCCTCCTCTCTGTAAAAAATCAATAAAATATATTAAATAAATAAATAAATAAATAAATGAAATGTATTACATTTCCATATTTAAAAAAAAGTAAATAGAAGCCTCACTCAAAATGAAGTGGGAAGTGGGGGGAGGGGATCTGTCATGCCCTATGTCAATCATGAAGCATAAAAGGGAGAACTCTGCAACTGCCCTCCCAATTTCTTCTTTCCTCTATAAAAGAATTCTCTCTCTCTCTCTCTCTCTCTCTCTCTCTCTCTCTCTCTCTCTCAGTAGGCTTGCATGTGGCCCACATGGTTGCCTGTTCCAGATTGTAACTCTTTGTTGTATCTGAATAAACCCATTTTGCTGGAGAAATATCTGGCTAACTTTTTGTTTAAGGTCAATATTTTTTGTTTTTGTTTACTTATGTTTATAATAAAAATTTTCTTCGTTTTTTCTATTTCTTTAGGCTATGAAATTCTATTTCTTTAGACTATGAAATCACTGGGTTTTGTTTTATTTTTGTTTTTGTATCTTGACTACTGAGAATGGTAACAAACATGTTCAGTAAGTATTTAAACAAGTGAAGAGAAATGCCATTGGGCTGGAAACAACTTACTTTGGAAGATGTCACTGGATGTTACTATTTTATTACTGTTATTAAACAGAAAAAGGCATGATTCACCAGAATGATCAGAAAGTAGAAGAGAGGTGGGGATAGGGGAATTGAATTAAGGTGGTCAAAAGGTACAAACTTCCAGTTATAAGATAAATAAGTACAAGGGATATAATGTACTACATGTAACTATACCTAACATTGCTGTATGGTATACTAGCATTTGAAAGTTGTTAAGAGCATAGATCCTAAGGGTTTTTAAAAATACATATTTTATTGATTTTTTAAAAATATATTTTATTTATTTTTTTACAGAGAGGAAGGGAGAGAGATAGAGAGTTAGAAACATTGATGAGAGAGAGTCATCGATCAGCTGCCTCTTGCACACCCCCTACTGGGGATATGCCCGCAACCAAAGTACATGCCCTTGACCGTAATCGAACCCGGGATCCTTCAGTCCCCAAGCCGACACTCTATCCATTGAGCCAAACCGGTTTCGGCTATTTTATTGATTTTTTACAGAGAGGAAGGGAGAGGGGGAGAGAGAGTCAGAAACATCAATGAGAGAGAAATATCGATCAGCTGCCTCCTGCACACCTCCTACTGGGGATGTGCCCGAAACCAAGTTACATGCCCTTGACTGGAATCAAACCTGGGACCTTTCAGTCCGCAGACCGACATTCTATCCACTGAGCCAAACCAGTTTCGGCAATCCTAAGAGTTTCTGATACCGTTGTAATTACTTGGTTATTACAATATTTAACAGGAAAGAGGTGAAAGGGTTGACCAAAAGATATCGGCGTGCCATTTATACAGCTATGCCCAAAAGCTACATTTAACAGGTCCAAATCTGCTCCCCACTCATTGATGGGGGAAGGGACTAGACAAAGGCAGTTTAGAATGTGCCCAGTAGGGTCTGAGTGATGTGGGAAATGCTTGCCTATCAATCACACCTGGAAACAGGTAACTGGCCAGAATGAGCGTGGCCACTGAACTGTGCACAAAACCTAAAATATCTAAACTTCTAAACAAAGAACTGACACTTGGCTCACTCTGTGTGTTCGTGTTCTCTCTCTCTCTCTCTCTCTCTCTCTCTCTCTCTCTCTCTCTCTCTCTCTCTCTCTCTCTCTCTCTCTCTCTCGTAGCCTTAGCCCTCTTGGGACTCCTGCTGGTGTTGGGCTGAGCTACCTTTCACCCACATGGCCCAACTCCACACACAGACTAATTGACTGCAGTCTATTCTGGATGCTGAACCAGCTTGGCTGCAACACAGAAGGAAAACTCTGGACACTGACCCTCTTTCTAGCTCTGATCAACTTCCAGCTGCCCCTCTTCTGGGACTGGTTTTGGGAAAATGGGGCATTGGAACCAGAGGAATGTAATTCTATGCCAATACAATCTACTGCCACCATTCATCCTCCCACGCGGCTTCTGAAAATTTTTATTTCAGCCGAGCCCAACAAACCCGACAAACAGCGGATGGTTCCCACTCATGTTCTCCTCTGGCAGCATTTTCATCCAAGGGAAAAAAGGTGGGAGATTCAGGCTTGTTGTGCTAGCTGTCAGAAATATCTGTTCTTCTACGGTCATGGCTAAAAACTATAGAAAAGTATGGAAGACTTTATAGCAGGAAGAAATGATTTAAGTGACCTAGTAAAATCATCTTGTTTTACAGAAAAGAAAATTAAGACACGTGGAAGTTTAGGAACTTGTCTGAGGTCACAAGATGATTAATAATAGAACAAAGACTAGAATTCAAGTTTTTGTTGCCCAATTCAGTGGTTTTCCCTCTTCACCAGAGTTAACTTTTTTGCTTTCTTAGTAACTTCCCAATAATCACTTCACTTCCCTGCGTTGTTGTGATTGTATAAAATAATGCACTGGAAAATACTTCAGAAAAATATAAAAGAGCTAAGCACTAGTGGACAAGTTGTAGAACCAGAGGAATTTAAAGTTCCCATACCTGTCAATTTCCCTCTGTAACTAGAAAAACACCTCCCCTCATTTGTTTTATTGCAATCAAATAGTATAAAATACAGGCAATGAAAACATTTTGATAGGAGGGTTGCTAGAGCTGCAGCCAAAAATATATAAAAGAGGGACCTTTCTGTGAATATTTTTCAGGCACAGAGAAGACAAAGAGTGTAGTCTTTGTCCAGGTAGGATAGATACATTGATATCAAACCAATATTTATGTGTAAGCACTGGTGAATGAAACCACATTATTCATGTAATTGACAAACAACCTCAAACACAAAGGTACCCACAAAATTTCCTACCTTGAATCGGATATACTTTACAAGGTCAAATGCTTTGGCATACATCCTGAAATACTCCAGGACCTGGGAATTGTGCATGAAGTTAGGAAAATGATCTGGAATAGGATAGTCACTGAAGCACATCATCTCCTTAGAAGTATTGATGATCACTGATTTATAAATACTGGCTCTTCCTTCTTCAGGATTTTCCTGCAATAAATAAGAAGCATTCATAGCCACTTGAGAATTAACTTCATGGTTTATAAACAGTCAATAAACACTTCAAAAAGATTTTTTAAAAAGTTATGCACACCTCTACAACTCCTAGTATTGTGCCTTTCTGTAGTCTTTTCCTCTTGAATCTGAGCTGTATTTATGACTTGCTTTATACACACACACACACACACACACACACACACACACACACACACATATATATATATATATATATATATATTATTGATTTTTACAGAGAGGAAGAGAGTGAGAGAGAATCATCGATCAGTGCCTCCTGCACACTGGGGATGTGCCCACAACCAAGGTACATGGCCCTGACCAGAATCAAACCTGGGACCTTTCAGTCCGCAGGCCAACGCTCTATCCACTGAGCCAAACTGGTTTTGGCACAACTTGCTTTTGACCAACAGCATGCAGTTGGGATGATACTGAATGGCTTCCAAAACTGTCATAAATAGTCTTGCAGCCACTGCTTACGTCTCTTAGAAAGCTTGCTCTCATGGAAGTCAGCAGTCATGTAAAAAGTCCAACTACCCTGAGACTACCGTACTGTGAGGAAGCCCAAGCTATTCACATAAAGAGAATGTATGGTAGAGAGATACACAGCCAGTTCCCCAAAGTTCTAGAAATCCCAGTGGCGTTCTAAACACGTGAGCAAAGAGACCATAGCAGATGTCCAGTCCCAGTCACCTGACTGTAATGACCTGAAATTCCAAGTGAGAACTGCCCATCTGAGTAATAGTCTTCATATTTCAAAGCCTAGGTAAGTTGTGAGGGTTTTTGAGTGGCTTCCTAGCATTCCTTAGTTGAAGAGCAGTATAGTCCTTTGCATCTGGGCTCTGTCTTTGGGGACCAACTCTATTTAACAACAGCCCTTATTATACTAATGAGCCTGCTCTCCAGGAATCATTGTACTAACTGAAATTCCATCCAGTATATGTTCCCATTTTACCTCAATTTTATTCATTTAAAAGACGATTATTCAGTTTTCCAAAAAATGAGGTGAAATTGGAACTTATACCGGAGCGAGTGTAAGTTACCGTATTTTTCGGACCATAAGACGCTCTGGACCATAAGACGCACCACTTTTTAGAGAAGGGAAATGAAGAAAAAAAGATTCTGAAACAAATAGTGTCCTAAAATATTTTATGTGCATTAAAACCCAATATCACAGTCATAAACACATGTAATCAACCCTGTAAAGTAAACAGCAGCATTTAGAACCATTTTAGAGCCGGGCAAGCACACAGAGACCACACAGAGCTGGGCAAGTAAAAAAACTTTTTTTTTTAAAGTATATGTGTAGGCTATATTTGGACCATAAGACGCAGGGACTTCCCCCCCCCCACTTCTGGGGGGAAAAAAGTGTGTCTTATGGTCCGAAAAATACGGTAGTAGAATGTACTTTCCCACTATCAGTCTTAACATTAGTGATGAGATCAAGAATTGATTGAAATTAATATTTTGAGAATTTATATATGCAGTAGGCTTTCTGGGATTTTAGTTACTCGTTGTTTGAAAATATTAAATGGTAAATTCCAGAAATAAACAATTCCTAAGTTCTAAATTTTGGGCTGTTCTGAGCAGCATGATACAATGTCATTCTGTCCTTTCTAACCTGCCGACAGCATGAATCATCCCTTTGTCTAGCATATCCACGCTGTATATGCTCTCCACAAGTTAATCGCTGGTAAGTCATCCTAGTAATCAGATCGACTGTCAGCAATATCACAGTGCTTGTGTTCAAGGACACAAGAAACCCTATTTTACTTAATAATGGCCCCAAAGTACAGGAGTAGTGATGCTGGCAATTCTGACAAGCTGAAGAGAAACCATAAAGGGATTCTTGTAAGTATAAAGCTGAGTACAATACAATAAGATATTTTAAAAGAGAGACCACATTGATATAACTTTTTACAGTATAATTGCTCTACTTTATTCTTATTATTGTTAATCTCTTCTGTGCCTAATTTATAAATTAAACTTTACCAGAGGTATGTATGTATAGGAAAAAACATACTATATATAGGGTTTGGTACTATCTGTGGTTTCAGGCATCCACTGGGGATCCTGAAATGTATTCTCGATGGGTAAGAGGGGATAATTATTACTATAAAGCTTCAACAATAACAAGAAGGAGGCAAGTGGTAAATCCTCCTTCTGTTTGGCAGATGGACTAGAGAAAAGAAAACGCAAGTGATGGTATTTGAGAAGAAAAAAAAATTTATACTAAATCCCTGGGACCTGTCACAAAGAACAGATATTTGAATATGAATATGATACACAATCTATAATAGACACGTAGGTGGTCTGTCTTAACATAAGTTAGAGAGTTATGATGAGATGTAGCTTATTTATTTTCAAGGAAGTAGTTTATATGGTATTGAAATTTTGTCAAGAAGATAATCAGAAAAAATTCCAAGTCTTTAATAGAGAATAGGATTAAACCACTTTGGAGATAAAAATCAGTTACCTGGGCCCCACTCCAGGCCTACTGAATAATAACTGGCATGCAGCACTTACTGTACAACTGGCATTGTTATTAAAGAATGACACAATTATTCATGTACTTAATCCCCACAATAACTCTATGAAGTGGGTATGATTATAATCTTTTTTTTTTTTTTTTAATTTCTCCTTGTTAAAGATGAAGAAGCAGAGGTACAGAGAGATTTACCGATTTTCCCCAACAGCACACTGCTGGTAGGTGCCGATATAGGAGTTGAACCAAGACTATGCTGTTAACCTCTACACTAAGTTGTGCCTGGATTTCAAAAGTAGCATGTTCTGTTGATTATAAGTATTAATTAACAGCCTTTTCAGCCCATGCCCCAGACCGATTATGCTAGAGGCATGGGGATGTGGTTTTCCAAGGGGTATCCACTCATGAGCTAAAAAAGGACTATTGTTAATTAGAGTTGGTCCCCAAAGACAGAGCCCAGATGCAGAGGATTGTACTGCTCTTCAACTAAGGGATGCTATGAAGCTACTTTAAAAAACACACAAATGAACAGCATGTATTTAATAATGCTGGCAATATGGAGTGAGTAGTGGGCTTCATGTCCGGGGGGTGAGGGGGACTGCTTCTCCCCTTCTCCTGCCAGCTAGATGGTTACATAAGTGTAAGGGGAAATATCTGTGTGCCGTGTGGCAGGGTAAGGGGGCGGTTTAGGGTCTGCAGTCTGTGGGTCTGCCTCCGGGAGCTTGAAGTTGAATACCAAGGTGGCTGAACTTTTATGGCGTTAAAAACATCTCAACCTGTTCCAGAGACCAGAGAAGGGTCAAAACTGAAGCAAACTCCCAGAGAGGGTCAGGGTCCAGGCACAGCAACCAAATCAAAGCATGTCCTGCCTTTAGTCTGCTCTCCAAAAGTATTTTCTTTTCTGAGTGATGGGCCCATTTGGGCTTCGAGACTGTATTATCCTTACAGCCCTGTTCTTTTTTGCAACATTCCCTCCAGTTTCCCATGGTTTTCATAACATAGTTTCAAGATGTGATTAATCCCTGTCTTCAAAGTTTCCATCATTCTAGAAAGGTTTGAATGACAGTCGAAATGTTCAAGAGCTCCCACTTGCTCCTGGGATATGCATTCACCAGTGAACACAAAATTCCTGTGTGAACTCCCCCTGACGTAGTTCTGAAGACCAGGCATCTGACAGGGGTCTCACTGGACTAACACCCAGGAGCAGGCCGGGTTTCAGGCCTACAGAAACTGCTAGGCTCTTCCCCGGGCCTTTTGCACCTTCCAGAGGCTGGCTGCATTCCGTGGGCTCATGGCCTCTTCCTGCAATGGCATCACTCTGACCTCTGCTTCCAGTATCACCTCACCTTCTCTCTGAAGCCATCTTTTTTTTTTTTTTTTTTTTTTTTTTTACATAGTCAACACTATTAATTTTTATGAAATAGGAAACATATTTGGATACCCCAATACCATTCACTGGTTAAGAAAGTGAGTTTAAAAACAAACCCAATGAATGTTACTTTGGAGATCAGGAGAGGCAGTTAATATTCTTTGGCATAGAATAAGCTTAACTATCATTTAAGTAGGTGATAATTTTTGGTAACAAGTTGCAAGGTTGGGTGTGCATATTAAAGCAACTCAACTTTAAAACTGAATATTTGCAAAGACAAGAAAGTCCAGCCAAAACCGGTTTGGCTCAGTGGATAGAGCGTCGGCCTGCAGACTGAAGGGTCCCAGGTTTGATTCCGGTCAAGGGCATGTACCTTGGTTGCGGGCACATTCCCAGTGGGAGGTGTGCAAGAGGCAGCTGGTCGATATTTCTCTCTCATTGATGTTTCTAGCTCTCTATCCCTCTCTCTTCTCTGTGAAAAATCAATAAAAATATATTTAAAAAAGAAAAAAGAAAGAAAGAAAGTCCAGTGGTAGGAGTCCTCTGCCTTCTTCTGGAGACAAGGACTTTGACCCACTGGTTTGATTTCTCCAGTGAAGTAAAAGTTCAAAGGCTAGAAGGAGGCCAGATTTTATTTGCTACTCAAGGACTAGGATTTTGAGAGAATGATCTAAAGTGAACCGGGATTCAAAAGAGAGAGGGAGCAGGAGGAGGAGGAGGAGGAGGAGGAGGAGGAGGAGGAGGAGGAGGAGGAGGAGGAGGAGGAGGAGGAGGAGGAGGAGGAGGGGGTGGAGGAGGGAGAAAAGGAAGAGGAGGGGGAGAGGAAGGAGGAAGAGGGGGAAAGGGAGAAGGAGAAGGAGGAGGAGGAAGAGCTGTTGTTGTAAGCAGGTAATCTACAATCCTCTGTTAATATGGACTAGGAGCAAACCACTCTACATTTTCTCATCACTTCATATTTTGTTTGTTATTCTGTTCTCTCCTCACACCACCCTATTCTGGATAGCAGCACAACTCAGTCATTGAAAATGATCCCTGTGCCATTGTTCCGGACATCAGTAAAGAAAAGAAAAAAATTGATACCCACACTCTCCTCTGCTGCCAGCCTAGGGAAAGAGGGGCCCACACAGAGGTGATGGCTGCTACCAAGAGGTCAGCAGGCGGAACCGCAGCAGATTTAAATCACTGTCAAGGCCATCCTATCTCCTGACACCAGATAAGATGTCTAAGATAAAATATCTCAGGTACCAACTTACAGGGAGGGTCCCAGACACTATGAACCCCAGGAGATTCGTACCTGGAACCTCCAGAGCCCTCCGATGTCATCGGACCTTTCAAAGCAGACGGGCTCCAGGCCTTCGTCCAGGCAGCACTTGATGGATGTGAGCCCGCTCACGCCCGCCCCGATCACGGCGATTCTCTTGCTGGTCATGGTCTCCTGAGGACTTCACAGGGCTGGGTCTGCCCACTGTGCCCTGAAGGATGGGTGGCAAAAGACAAGAAAGCGCACGTCAGTGAACTGAACACGTTTCAAGAAGAGACCTTGACCAAGGCATCCAGACAAAACTTGCAACAGGTGTCTCTGGGGAAGCCAGAGTCTGCTGTCTCCTTAGCCACTGGGACTGGCTTTACTGGCGGGACTAGGAGCCCCATGCCTGCGAGCGCAGTTGTCAGACGCGATCTCACTACCTGTCCTTTCTGTAGCCCCGGGCAGGTCCGTCAGCTGCAAGTCTGGAGGCTCCACTGCACTTTAGACTGTTTTCAGAGAAATATAAAGCAACAAAGCGCAAACAACAGCAACAGCCAACTGGGCGGGGCTGGGCAGCACCACCCCTTTCAGCCAGCACCCCGCCCACTGGCCCGCCCCCGCTGCCTCTCTGGGGTGGGGTGGGGTGGGGGTGAGGATGTGGGGGTGGGCAGAGGGAGGCGGGGAATTAAACGTGGCGGAACCTTCTTTGGGCAGACAAAAATGAGTCCTCCAGACTTCTCAACTTTTCAGCGCCGTTGCCTGCACTCGTCTGGAGAGACCTAACTCCATCCTCCCCGCCCCTCTGCACCCACTGCGAACTTCCTGGTTTCCACCTTAAAGTGACAAACTCCTCCTGGTGAAGGGGCACTGTCACCCACCCCAGAGCAAGTCATGCTCCAGCAGCTGAAGGGGAGAAGCCCAATCTTTCTGATCTGTTCAGACAGGTCCGCCCCAGCACCCTAACCCCCACTCCACAGATGGGATCTTTGGTTCTGTGTCCTGAGAGACATTTACTCCGCAATGCCCAGGCCCTGACCCGGGCGCTGGCCCACAGTGCAGAGTGGATTATGGTTCTTACTTAAGGGGAGCTTATAGTTGGGTGGAGAAGACCAAAAACACAGGCTGAAAACTTCCATAAAATAAAAAATACATTTAAAAAAAAAGTGTTTTATGCCATTGCATGTGGACGTAAAGCCCACGAGATATCCGCTTTTTAAAATGTAACTTAATTTTTTTAAAAATATAATTTCACTGACTGGGTCACCATCGTCAGGGCCCACCCCAGGAATCTGCCCTGGTGGGTTGTTGGGGAGGTAAGCTGTGGCTGATGCAACCCACCTTTGCTCACCGTCTACTACTACCAGTCAACTTTACTCAAAATGGTTGGATGCCAATGACCGCCCTGGGTGTTGATCTACTGGTTTCACCTCAAAGGTATTGTTTGTGGAGTTAATCCTTATCATATCTCAAGGATATGGTTCAAAAGGCTAAATGGGAATGGGCAATATTTTCTCAGCAATGCTGTGAAGCAATACTATCATTATCCCCATTTCACAAGTAAGTGATATCTCCAATCTGGGACCCCTCTCACAATCCAGGAATGCTGACTCCCAACTACTCATCTGCCTGCCTTCCTGATTCCCCTAACTGCTTCTGCCTGCCAGCCTGATCACCCCCTAACCACTCTCATGCCAACTTGTTTGCCCCTAACTACCCTCCACTGTAGGCCTGGTTATCCCTAACTGCACTCCCCTGCAGGCTTGATTGCCCACAACTTCCCTTGCAGGCCTGGTCCCTCCCAACTGCCCTCCCCTGCTGGCCATCTTGTGGCAGCTATCTTGTGTCTACATGGGGGCAGCCATCTTGTGTGTTGGAGTGATGATCAATTTGCATATTACTCTTTTATTAGATAGGATAGAGGCCTGGTGCATGGGTAAGAGCCAGCTGGTTTGTCCTGAAAGGTGTCCTGGATGAGGGTGGGGGTTCCATTGGAGCATGGGTGGGGCGAGGGTCCTATGGTGGTTTGCAGGCCAGCCACACCCCCTGGCGACACAAGCAGAGGCCCTGGTATCTGGGACTTATTTATCTTCTATAATTGAAACTTTGTAGCCTTAAGTGGAGGCCTGGGCCAGCCAGGGTGTGCAGAGAACTTGGCTTTCTCCATTGCTGGGGAAACCCAAGGCTCCTGCTCGCTCTAAGGCTGTAGCCATCTTGGTTGGTTTAATTTGCATACTCACTGATTGGCTGGTGGGTGTGGTAGAGTGATGGTTAATTTGTATATTACTATTTTATTAGATAGGATTGGCAGAGGACCTGAGTAAACATTTCCAATAGACATATGAAAAGATGCTCAATGTCAATAATCAGAGAAATGTAAATCAAAACCACAATGAGCCCTAATTGGTTTGGCTCAGTGGATAGAGCCGTCGGCCTACAGATTTAAAGGTCCCAGGTTCGATTCTGGTCAAGGGCATGTACCTTGGTTGCAGGCACATTCCCAGTGGGGAGTGTGCAGGAGGCAGCTGATTGATGTTTCTTTCTCATCGATGTCTCTAACTCTCTATCCCTCTCCCTTCCTCTCTGAAAATAATATATATATATATATATATATATATATATATATATATACACACACACACATATATATATATATATAAAACAAACAAACACAATGAGATATCACCTCATACCTGTCAGAATAGCTATTAAAAAAAAGAATGAACTCTAACCATTTGTGAAAACATGAATGGACCTAGGTGATTTTTGCTAAGTGAAATAAGTCAGACAAAGGCAAATACCATATGGTTCACCTATATGTGGAATCTAAAAAATAAAATAAATGAACAAACAGAAACAAACTCATAGGTACAGTGGACCTGTAACGTTTGTTTTTTGGACCTGTAACTTTTAAAAGACTGGCATATTTCATAAAAGCTTTCAGTTACACATGTGAGCCTGTACTATAATAGTCTCTTTTAAAAATGAAATTCTGAAGAGCGTGTCTTAACATAATCATTTTACAGATGAGTTATTTGTAAATTGGAATATATGAGTGTACTAGAGATGTCTAGCTATAGGAAATAGCTAAGCATTTCCTTCGGGGAATCCTATATATAATTAAAGGCTAATATGGCTTTGGGATCTTGCCAACCAGAGAAGAAGAGAGATCTTAAATTCAGAGCCTCTGTGAGCAAGATCGCATTGTTTAACAACTTTCATTGTAGACTGAGTCAATAGAAACATTTAGCTTCATTTAGTTTTATTACTGAGATGTCCTGCTCCTTCTGTGGAAATATGTCACAAAAGTAACTGGCAAACTCAAAAGCTTGGGATTCACTAGGTGGATTCCTGGCAGGCGTGGCTTAGTGGATGAGTGCTGACCTATGAACCAGGAGGTCAGGATTTGATCCCCGGTCAAGGTACACGTCCAGGCTGCCTGTTCTGTGCCCAGGGTGGAGCGTGCAGGAGGCAGCCGATCAATGATTCTGTCTCATCATTGATGTTTCTATCTGTCTCTCCCTCTCCTTTTCTCTCTGAAATCAATAAAAATATATTTTCAAAAAACAGAAAGAATAAAATTGGGTGTCACTAACTTGGTGGCAAGGCATATTGATAGTCAAAAGGCACTAGTTAAGGAAAATAAACAGAACTGTGGGCAAAACTTGGTGCACAGCTGATAGTTTGCAATCTCTGGATTTTGTCCTCCAAGATTCCTTGATAATATCTTAGTGTTAAAGCATTACCTTTGTCATAAGAGGGAGTGGAAATTTTCTGATGAGCTTGAGTACGGTAAGAGTCCTATAAAGCAGACCTACCGTATTTTTCGGACCATAAGACGCACTTTTTCCCCCCCAGAAGTGGGGGGGAAAAAGTCCCTGCGTCTTATGGTCCAAATATAGCCTACACATATACTTTAAAAAAAAGTTTTTTTACTTGCCCGGCTCTGTGTGGTCTCTGTGTGCTTGCCCGGCTCTAAAATGGTTCTAAATGCTGCTGTTTACTTTACAGGGTTGATTACATGTGTTTATGACTGTGATGTTGGGTTTTAATGCACATAAAATATTTTAAGACACTATTTGTTTCAGAATCTTTTTTTCTTCATTTCCCTTCTCTAAAAACTGGTGCGTCTTATGGTCCGGAGCGTCTTATGGTCCGAAAAATACGGTACTTTGTTGATACATTTTAAACTAATGTGTGATTTGATGTTAAAAATGTATAGTTATGTCAAATGTCAAAATACGGTTTTTATTTTTTTTAGGAGAAAAAAACTCAACTCTCTTTCATTCCAGTGATTTCTCCACCACAGGGCAGTGACCTAATCCTAACCTGAACCCAAAGGTCTAAGTTCATGTACTCAAAAAGAGGTTTGTACAGATTTTCACCCATGGCCACAGCTTTTACTCAAGCTCCATATCTAACCTACCACTAGCAGATGTTGCCAGCTGGCATCCTGCTTTTACCTACCAGGTCAGGGACATAATGGATAGCAAACACACTTGTTTGCCAATCTGTGCTTCCTCATGCTTGCTTTGGTGGGATTTGGCAGAGACGAAGGTCTATCATTAGGGTGATAATGATTACCGTTAATCTTATTCAGTTGCCAGGGTTTCTACCCTCTCAGTGAAGTTATACAATAAAGAATTAATATTAACACCAAGATTACATAACCTGGACAAAGAATGGAAAGGAGTTGGGGTTAGACGCTCTTCCGGCAGTTAACATTGGCTAACTGGAAAAATTGGACAAGTTGCCTAAACTTTTGGTGCCTTGGTTTGTCCATCCCTGAAATGTCCTCTCTGTACAGTGAGGTTATAATAGTCAGGTTTGGACTTCAGAATTGCTCAACAGACACCTCATTCAAACATTCAATAATACTTAGTGAGTGTATACTATGTGCCAGTCATTGTTTAGGTACAAATTCAACCTTTCCTAACAGTGAAATTCTTATCTTTTGTCTCCTGTATTCTCTGTCTCAGTGATGGTGTCAATATCCACCCAGTTATCCAGATGCTCAATCAGGGTATCTTACAGGTTCTTCCTTAGTGGTATATCTAATATCTGACCACTACTCAAACCTCGACTCCACCATGTTGGCCCAACAACTATCATCTCTTGCCCAGACTCCCACAGTAGTCTTCTACAGGGCTCCCTGCTTTTACCTTGTCCCTTTCCATATACTCTTTTCATACAGCATCCAAATAAACTCTTAGAGGCATCATCTCACTAACTGGCTTGGAGTTTCTTAGCTACTTCTCTTAGCTGTATTTTATTTTTATTTACTTATTTTTAAAAATATGTTTTTATTGATTTTAGAGAGAGGAAAGGAGAGGGAGAAAGATACACTTACATCAATGATGAGAGAGAATCATCCATCGACTGCCTCCTCCATGCTCCCTATGGGGGATCAAGCCCGCAACCTAGGCATGTGCCCTGACTGGGAATTGAACCGTGATCCCCTGGTTCATGGGTCCACGCTCAAACACTAAGCCGGGCACTTAGCTGAATTTTAGATGCCAGACTCAATATGCCAACAGAACACTTAGCTTACAGCTAGGACCCCCATCTCTAGTATAATGCTAAAACAAATGTATGTTAAA